GGGTCGTAGCAACGGTTCATTCATGAACATCACATGCACTCAGCGTTTGACAATCACACCCCCCTAAAAAATGCCGGTACCCGCTAAGCGTGTCAAATGTTCCACCACTAAAAACCTTAGGCGGGGGATCCCTTGCGATCGCGAAGGATGCATGTAGTGCTTCTTGGCTCGATAGTGATATGCAGACTTCCCCCCTAGTATGAAATCGGCAGGTCGCGAGTTGTCAGAGAGTTGTCAGAACGCAACTCATCGTGCAACTTGGCTCAAATGGTCCTTCCTTGGCTTGATCCCTGCGAACTGATCATGAGTCTCGGCCATACACTTGCCATTTGCAGAGAAACGCCCCTTGGATGTGCACCCGCATCTGTTCCATATCTGTCTACGGAACTCCCACTCGTTTCAACCAAACAAGTTGTCCAGTCCAAAGATCCCATACCCTCACTGGCTGAGTGGATGGCCCAGAAAGAGTTCAAACTTTATATTTACCACTAAAATGGTCTTCCCGAAAAGTTCAAAGTTCATGAACTCAGGAAGTGAGATACCAAAAAGCCATAAAGCTACCTGCCGCGCTCTTCCTTGACCCTTGTCCAGCGCCGGCCACGTCTACTGGGCTGCTGCTTCCGGGGCCCCGGCGGCTTGGCCTCCGCTTCCGAATTGGGCGCTTCCTTTGGCTCGGAAGCAACCGCGGGCGCGGCAGCGACCGCGACCGCCGGCGCCGAAACGGGCGCGGCCGCAGCCTGGCTGAGGGAGCAAGGTGCCTTGGAGTCACCTAAGCTCAATTATCCCATACTGTGGATGGACAAAATCCATTTCGCACCACCTAAGAAACCCTGGAATGATATTTCTCCTGTAGATACCAACAACTTATGGTTTCCCATGGTTTCAAAGTGGTGCGAAACGGTTTTCGTCCATCCACAGTAGGACCTAGAAATAAAAGGTGATCATTTTTTGGGACCCTAAACATGAACCAAACATGGAAAACCGCCAGCTCATTTCAGGTCGATTTGAATTGAACAACTGAGGAACAGTCATCTGGATGTAGAAACTCATTGAACCAGCCGAAGGCGAAGCTTTTAATGTGGTCAAGGTGCATTTGAGGAACCCTGAAAAAATATGTTTACTTGCAGGATCCACCCCTCCTTTGCCCGAACCAGCCCCTAGCCGAAGGCCTAAGGATCGAACTGAGAGTTCAACACATGTGAGGCATAAAAACTCCGAGCCTGTGGGTCATGGTCATGGCTCTAGCCATTTCAACCCCCCTAAGGGCTGTTGTTTCACACCTTCATGTTGAATCCAGACCCTAAATCCATGTTTGGTGTGTGTGTGTGTGCGTGTGTCGGGCTTTAACATTGTCATATTTATCACCTGAAATTCTTGCTTGCCCAAAGAACCTACAAATCAAAGGGTAACCGTTTGGGCCCAAGAATAGAAATGAAGAAACTAAAAGGTAAGATCCGGTTGATTTGCCGTGGGCAAGTAAGTAGTACCAAGTTGTCCCACTACCTTTTTGAATTGGCAAAGTCCCTGGGCTTTCTGCTTCTCATCGGACACCGAGAGTGCGAAGAGTGGTTCAGGTTTAGCTGAAGTGTACCCCCAGCCAAAACGCCAAGGCCCCCAAGCTTCAAGTCACAAGCCAAAACATATGCACTCCTTCCACACTGGGTTTGTTGAGGGCTACCATCTTAAAATCACCTGCAAACATCACCCCACCACAAAACTCGGTTGACAATGGCCTACCAGGTGACGTTTCGAGCCACCCTTCAAGGGCAATTCGGAGGAGCTAGTGTCACAGAAGGATAAATGGGTGGTATGTACGGCGCACATTTACGGCTATGACTTTACGTATGCTCGTGACCCCAAAATTTAAAATTGCCCAAACCAGGAACACCACAAAAAAGTGTCTCTGTAATTGTGCCCCCCTGTAAACATCAGCCCATCATAAGGCAACTCACTTAAACTTGGCAACAACAAAGCACATGATTCAAGCCACTCTTCAAGGGCGAAACAAGCCCCATTCAAGCCCTGGTATCAAAAAAAGAGTCTGCCCATAACCCATGATACAAAAAAGCAAAACACACAATCAACAGGGCGTCTTGCCGCACGTGTTTCTGGCTGGGATTGTCTCTTAAACTTCAGCTTTCTGCCCAGTCTTCGGTCTTTGTGATGTGGCTCTTCCCTGCAACAGCCGGGCGGAAATGCTCAAGTTCGGACCTCAAAGTGTCCGGGTGGAAAGTTTCAAAGCTGCACTGCTGCACCTGCAAATCTCGGCGCCGCAACTTTTGTTGGAGGCCCCCTTTTACCTCACTTCCCGAGTGGATTGGCAAGAACAAGTCGCAACTTGTTGCTTAAAGCACAAAACTGGTCTTCCCAAAAGGCATAATATAATAACCGTGACTTCCTAAGTTCCTTCAGTTTTTGTTTTATAATAAAACGCAAAACCCGAGGAACTTAGGAAGTCACGGTGGGGCAAAACAAAGATCCCAAGGTAGAAGGGACACCCAAAATTCGCGTTCGGCGGAGAGAAAGGACACAGCTCTGGGGGGATCAAGGGGGAACCCCACCATGCTGGTGTTCTGTTGGTGTCCCATTTAAAATCAACTTTTCTCCCCCCCCCCCCAAAAAAAAACTAGCCTCGAAACAAACAAACACACACACACACACACTCACTTACATATTTTGAGGATTTAAACTCGGACTTGGAACACTTTTCATGAGAACGGTCGATACCCAGTATGCCGCTTTAGGCCTGGGCGGGGGCCTGCGTCTTGACCGCCTGCACAGAAGCATGGGCGGGTACAAAGGCGGGAGGCCCTGCAAAGTACTGCCGATGGACATAATCCTGCAATCGGCAACTCGTTTATCCCAGTATTTGCGCGTCTTGATTGCTGTTGACCCCCCTACAAAAAGTTTAACTTTTGGGGGGGCTTAGTGGAAAAAACACTTGTATTTTCCAAACAGTTAAAGCCTAAAGATCCAACCCAATAGCAATCAAGACGTAGGGCTTTGCCATTCCAGCTGGTGCAGGATTTTGCCAATGCACAGTGCCACGGTATAAGGTGTCACGATTCGTCAGTTTGCCTACGGTTTTACCAGCCATGACCACGAGCAAGAGTTCAAGCACTCCGGGTCTCGAAGCGAAGAGGGAGGACACAGCTAGCTTTTCCTGGCCGGAGCTAGAAGAAAGGTAAGAAGCTTGGCCAGCTTCTTTGACAAACAGAAGTTGCCTTTTCTCAAAGTGCCTTTTGACAATCAGGGCTCCCCAGATTGCCACGTGCAACATCACCCCCACCAAGGGACACTCACCCTTTCATGGGCCAAAAGGTGATTGTTACAACCACCAAAAAGGGAAATATAGGAACCCCTCACAATGACGGATTTTCTGTGGGTGGAGGTGGGCACTCTTAGTAAACCGAAACCGTCCCGTGAGCGTCCAGCAAAAGGCGTTCTACTCACGCCTTCGGCCCAAGTGAGTGGGTCGTCACTCAGGTTATGACCTACTCATAAGTCCCACAAGTGGAGTCAGCCTGGTTGGGAGTAGGCTATTATCTAGTTGATTAACGACTTACGAACTTGGCCGAAAAGGCTTTCCAGTGAGCGCGCTATCAGCAGCTTGCCCCCTTTTCTTCGAGCATTGAACTTGTGTTTGACGGACCACGTCGCGGAATGCTTCACGTCTCGAAGCTACCAGTGCGCTTACGGTAAGATGACAAACATACCCCTCAGGAAAGGCTCAAAAGGTACAAACTCTCAGAAGTGTCCTGAAAACCGTCTTTAGTCGCAAAATGTTCACAAACGCACAAACTGCCTGCGTACCATCATGGAACCTGCTTCATAGTACCCTGAATATTTGTACAATACATTATTGCATCTTGCAAGTACCGGCGGAAGACTCAAATCACACTGCGAACTGGAAAATTTGAGTTTGTGTCAAGGTCCATAAAATAGTACTTTCCATTCAACCGGACAAGAGGGTACTGAGCCTCCCATATAAGTGTATATATATATATACATGTATATAGACACATGGGTGCGGTCCCAACTCCCTGCTCCCCTCAAAAGCAGCCAGTTCTCACCAGTTTGAAAACAAACACACACACACACACAAAAAAAAAGAAGAAGCATGCGGTTGAACGATCCAAAACCAAACTTGTTGACTTGGACCCATGACCTATCTCTGAGAGCTGCAGGGATCGCAGATCGCATCAGAAAGAAACCCCATTGCCAGAGCCTTGCCAAGCCTTGGCATGTTGGTAAACTCGGTCCTCCAGTAGAGAGGTTAGAATAAGGGTACCAACTTTTGTCTGTAGTCTATTTTAGGGGAAGCCTCCCCAAAAAAAGGGTAAAAGGGCGCTACTTGGGGACCTAGTAAACCGTGTGCGTGCAATCCAAACTAAAGCAAACAACAAAAGCAGCCAACAAAAATGCGAATTGTCGTTCTTCGCCGCCCACCACAAAACTACAAAAGCAACTATGATCAGCGCCAACAACCAAGCACCAAAACCACCCTTGCCAAGAACAGTGATGCTGTGCCTCGAGATTTAGAAGAATGACTGCCTGAATCGCCAGCTGCCTAGGTCGCCTTCGAATTGGGGGCCTGGAGTGATCTGCCCCACGCGCGGCCCAAAGCGGGTCTGGAGTTGCAACTTGCACTTCCCCCTCGGCAGGGGGTTCTCAAAATGGTGGACCTGCTTTGGTTGGTACTTTTGACTTAGAGGACCAAGGCAGGGGTTTCTCAAAATGGTGGACCTGTTTTGGTAGCTTCGGGGCAACCAAGATGAAACGAACCAACTTAGAGGACAGCGATGTTCTCCAGGACCTGAGAATATCAAGGTTCCGTCGGGACAAGAACACCGGGACAGCCCATGGTTCTACAGAAGCGTCTGATTCTCAATGGGGTTGCCTCACTTGAGAAGCTTTCCTTCTCCACGGTGGAAACCAAAGGCCCCAAAAAAACGGGTTACGCGTTCAAACGGGAGTAGAATCACCTCCCCTCTACCTGGCGGCGAACGGATTTGGTGGTTTCCAGGGAAGGGCCACCCATCCACTGAGGGCCTACCTGATACAAGGCTAAGAGCCCCCTGCACAAGCGCGACGCTCCGAAAACACCCGGCGCTTGGCGGAAGGGCGTCCTTTCTCTTGGTGAGACGGCGACGAAAAATAGAAACATGCAACTCACTAGACAAAGCTGTCCTGCCGACGGCAATCACCCTCTCAGTTGCCCCTTAGGGACCCGGAAATAAAAAAGGTGATCACCTTTTGGGACCATTACTAAACATGGACCAACGATGGGAAACCAAAAGGTCAAAAGGTCGGCTTCGGGCAAGTGAGCTCTTGGTCAACGGGCCGCCCTGGGATTTGAATGCGTTTACCATCACGAACTTAGCAAAGGCAAGGGTCGTTTTACCGGCGAGGCTCATGCGTAGGCTGCGTGATGCCACTTGCCTTCAGGTCGACCTGAAGTCTTGAGGTGAATTATCCGACCAACCCCAACAATAGGGGAAAGAGACAAAAGCTTGGCTAGAAGGACGGCGTCTGAAAACCTTCCAACAGGGTATGTAATTCCTAAAGCAAGTAATAACGGGTCCAGTCATGTTTACCCTTTTTTGTACCCTTCTGTTCCTTCATCCTCCAAATGGCAGTAGTAGATATTCTGAGTTCAATATGGAGATTTGGCCAATCAAATGATCCATACTCCTTCTGAGTACTTAGAAGAACGACGTTATTCTTTTTTAATGTAAGGGAAGCATGTAAGTTACAATTGCTCCCCTCCATTCAAAGAGCGGGAAAATGCAGAGAACACCACCCCACCAAAAGGAGACTCATATTGATTACAGTCACTCGGTTGCTTTCTGCTCTCCTGCTAAAAGTTTAACTTTTAGTGGTTTACTGGACACCCATTAGTTAGCAAAAAGTTAAAATCCTAACATCCCTTGGCAAAATGCGCCAAAGGTCACTCAAAAGGCGATGCCCTATCTAAACTAGCAAGCGGGCGAACTGTCCCGGCCAAGCAGCTGTTCCGCATCCAAAGGCCAGTGAATAGCCCTCCCCCCCCGTCCTCCCTGAAATTGTCCACAGGCCTGTACAGCTCTGGGTCGTTCCTGAGACAAGAAAAAGAAGAGATCCCAGCACCGCAAGCTTCTGATGGTTGGATCAACATGAGGGGTGGATCTGCAAAGAAAGACCTATCCATGTGATGATGACTGGTGGCCAGCACGGGGGCACGGGCCGATTCATCCTGTGATTGAATCATTTGGCTCCCAATTGAAAGCACAGCATGCATGGTTCGAACAGCTGGAACCAGATCGCCCAGATGGGAGAGGTGGCATCGTAGTAAGAAACTGTTTGAGGGATTCATTTGTGTTGTTTCCGAGGCAAACCCAATGACCCCAAAATGGTGCTTCCCTGATTTGGAGACACCCACGTGGCAAACAAGGGGCACCAACTCAAAAAAGACGATCCACCCAACTAGGGTGGCTGATGACAACGGATCGTCGCATATCGTCGCACCACCACTGTTGGGGGGGGGGGCGCCTGTCGAGCCTGTTGAGGCTTTTAGCTACCCCGCCATTACTCAGATAACCCCTAATTTGTGGTTTGGATTGATGCTTTCAACCACCAAGTCACCAATCCCAACCACCAATCAGTGGGATGCTGAATTAAGGTAAAACCAGCTGTGTTTTGAGGGCAGGCCCTCGAAAAGACACCGCCATGCAGTTGCTTTCCTATGGAGAACAAGGGGCTGGCAGTGCAATCTGACAGAGTTGAGCCAAGGTGTTGTTTAAGCACGTGAGAAAAATAAAAAATAAAAGCAAAAAAATCTTGGAAACTGCATCTTGTTCGTTTCGCTTGAAGGGTGACCGGAGCCTGGTTTCAGCAACTCCGACTGAAATCATCTGAGAGGCTCACAGTCCAAAGGAATCGAAGAATCCATTCTAGGGGGCGTCCAAATCCTCAAAAACGACAGACCCGACACGTCTGTTCTTTTTGCAAGCTGCTCCAGGGAAAATGAGGCTGGCTGCTTGGTATTGGCCTGGCCAGCGCGTGCAATGGGCATGTACACAAGCGATCACACACACATGGCAAACATGTCACATTCCTGAAGGCTTGACACGTGATTGTCCTGTGCCAAAAGCTTAGCTCTTTGCTGTGTGGGAAACATCGACACATGTCCCCAAAAGCTAAAGTCTAAAGATCCAACAAAAGAGCAGGAAAGCATTCTGGGTGACCTATACGAGTTTTACGTCCCTCAAAACTAGACACACCCATTCCAAATAGGGGTTCAAACTTTCGAACCCGTTTCTTGATAGATTGAAATCATCCTTGGCTCTCCAGTTGCACAAAGGACCTAGAAATTAAGATTTACCCTCTTGGGGCCATGACTAACTGAAACTGGACCAAATGAGGGAAACCAAAAAAAGGCTAACAGGTCAGCTTCGGACACCTGACCAGGCTGAACTCCCCTTAGCTCCGTATTGCCCCCAAATCGCTGCCTTTGGTCGGCGAAGAGGCCTAGGACCTACGGCTTGGGCTCCATGTGACATATTCCAAGGACGGCCAACGAAGTCGTGGAGAGTGTGGATGGACAAAATCCATTTTGCACCGCCCAAGACACCATGGTTGAAACCATTGTTTGTTGGTATGAAACCAGGGGATCATATCATTCTAGGGTTTCTGAGGTGGGGCAGGATTTCGTCCATCCACAGTATGTTGCGTGGGTCAAACGGACACGTGAAGCCACTATCCTCTTGCCCTCTTGTCCGCGCTGCCATGAAACTCACTAGACAGCCCATTTTAAAGGAACTTTTCTTCCAGGAATCTCGGTTGCTTTCTGCTCCCCTGCTAAAAGTGAGTAACTTTTTCTGGTTTAATGGAAAACCCATTAGTTGGCAACAAGTTGAAGTCCTAACATCCCTTGGCAAAATGCACCAAAGGAACGATGAGTCAGGTATGGCTACATGGAGGGCAGATTGGCTCCGGTGGAGTTCGATTCCAAGTACATCCTACCGGGCAAGGTACCGCCAAAAGGTTTTCATCGCAATGTTTAGCTGGTTGCGAGCACGGCCAACATGTCTCCTAGGACCCTTGTAATGCGAGAAACCACCCACACACAAGGGGCGAATAGGGACCAGCTATTGTCGCTAACGGGCAAGTTGAAGCCTAGGACCTTTGAGGCTATCTAGGCACAGAGTGCTTGTGATTGATACTCTCAACCACGTGACATCCGAAGTTGCTGAGTGGCATGTCCTTCCGCAAATCATCCAACCCCTTCAAGTTCGACTCCAGCAAAGCCATGGTGGACATCCATTTGGCAAAGTACCAGCAACATCCAGGCAACCAGGTTCCCATCATCCCGCGCTCACTAAAACCCACTAGTTGTCCATCTTGAGTGGGGAAGCCACCAAACAAGAACCAAGTGCCAGTGCGCAGCGGGGGTAATGATCTTCCCCATCCTTTATCAGTTGGTAAATCCCCAAACGCAGCTTTCCTCCAGCGGCTTGTGCATTCCCTGAAAATGCAAAATCCATTCTGAGGGATATTCCCGAATTTGACACCGTAAGATAGATTGACTGTTGGGTTAACTATTTCCCGAGGGGTTACACGCGCAGAGCGTGATACACATCAGTTGGAGAGCCCAGTTTAAAAAGAGGACCCACCGGCCCCAATTTTGCCTAAACCTGGCTAAAGCCACGCCCGACCCGGCGGATTGGCGCCGGTTGAATCGCCTCGGGGATGGAAACTTCGGGGCAGAAGGGGCTGTGGAGCGTGCGCTGCCGCAGCTCTGCGAAACTGAAGTCCATCTGCCTGGCGATTAGGCGAAACGGACGGCCCGATCCTCTGTGGAAAAAAGTGGAGAAACCTGCTGCGAAGGTCAACTTCGGGTCTATGATTAATGCGGAGAACCGTACTACTCAGGGGTGGTTCCCGTTTTGTCTATTGTGGGGGGTGCCGCTGACTACGAAGTTAACATGAAGTGGGGAAAGATTCACTTGTTTCTATCGAGCAGTTAGAGCCCTAAAGATCCAACAGCAGCCAAGAAGACATGTGTGCCATGGTGACGCCCCGAATTCAAAGGAACCCGTATAATGTTTGTGGGAATTTCTAAGGGGTCCATGACCGCCCTACCAAGCCCATGTGTTCAAGACGTCATGTGAGATGCATTCAAACCCACCCGTAATTGTGTGTGTGTGTGTGTTTTCCTTTTTTTATCGGGGGGATTTACAAGCCACACTGATAGCGTTTGTCCATTTAGGGGATCCGGAGCCCCTGCAAAAGCCGCAACTTGTGAACGGAGGCCTTTTGAAGGGCTGGCGCGCTTTGACATGAAAGCTCAAAGGACAGCAACTAGGTCCTCCAGTCGAGAGGTTAGAATAAGGGTACGCTTTGTTCTGTAGTCCATTTTAGTGGGGGAACCCGGGCCCAAAAAAGGGGCAAAAGGGCACTGCTGGGGGACCTAGGCAATGGTATGCTTCCCATTTCAGGTGAGTGGTGGGAGCCCAGGATGATTCGAATGTCGACTTTTGTCCCATTTGAGCGGAGATCCTACCCACAAAAAGGGAATCCTGTCATTTCACCCAGCCTGTGCATTGTGTCCCTCCATTTGCTCAAGTGGACAAAATGAGAACGTATTTCCAGTAGTGATAGAATACCTCCTTCCATTTTCTTAAGTCCCCTCTGAAACCAACAATTACATGTAAAAACTATGCAAGCCTTTTAATGCAGCCATATCCCCAAATAAGTGTGGATTAACGCGAATTAGTGTCCGATAAGGCTGCGGTACTTGCAAATGGGACCAGTCCAGGATCCCTCGGAGGTTCATGGAGCAACAAAGCACTCAACCAGCCGCATGGCCGAAAGCACGCAGCCCTTTTTCAAGCCAACCCTTAAGGAAATGGGCAAAACAAAACAAGACACATCTTAAGGAAATGGAAGTCTTCAAAGCCAGGCTGGGAAAAAACCATCTTCGGCAAGTCAGCCCGTCCCCGAGGCCAACATCGGCTCGGCCGGTTTGGCTCGGCCTGTACATGGAGTGCTCCTGAAGACCCTGAGCCACTTCACAGCGTCGCTCAGGGCACTTGGTCAAGAGATCCCGGACAAAGTTCCGGGCAATACCTCGGCATGTTGGTTGAAACACAATGGGTGTGGCTCAAACAACCGGTACCCAAAATGGAACCCCGGTAAGTGCGAACATGGACCAACACCTGCGTAACCCCACCGGTGGCATTTTGTTGAGCCACACCCAAATGGGTGTATCTTTTTACCCCTTTGGTGCGGTTTAAAGGAAAACCAAAGGAACACTTTTTGTGTTGTTGCCGGGGTCCCCTAAAAAACGACACACCCAAATGAGCATCTCGCTTATTGAGGGAGTCCATTCTGGTGTGAACAAAAGCGCACAACACGTGTTCCAACCAGAAGTTTGGCTGCACGATGCTGCACGTGCTCGAACGATTCCGAGGGTTTCCCCGAAAGGAAACGACAAGAGATGGTTCTTCTCGTGGTCACTCCCTCATTCCCTGCTGAGCACCATCAAGACAAGTTCCCCAAAACGCACCCAAAAAAGCGCCACCAACGCGTTCGCCTCAAGAACGCCAGTGGCAACATGCGTCTGTACTTTGTATAGGGACTCACGATTGATCGAGTGTGGATTGGCCAAAAAAAGTCCATGGAACTTTTTTTACCACCAAAATGGTCCAAACCCAAAAACAATGAAGTCTAGGAACTGCGCGAGTTATTCCACAAGAACCAGGGGCTCAAATCTAAATCCATGCCACCAATCCAAACACCGAATTGACTAGTATCCGAGAAAACTTGCCGAGCCCTCTACCAAAAGGTTTCTCTTTAAACAAAGTTGAACAGATTTCTGAGACTCCCGGAAAACAACAACAAAAATAGCAAACCCCACCTTAACCCAACCTGAAAAGGGTACCAACTCCAAAACACTTCTCCATTCCTCAAAATGGAGCCTTGGCTCGCGGATTGCCCAAATTAATCCTCCAGCTCCAAAAGTACCAAGGGGACCGACCCTCGTAGAAACCTTGCTGGTGCGCAGAAGGGAATGAGAAATGGAATGACCCCTGTTCAACATCCATCCTATGGTTTCCTTCAAATGAATCTTCAGGTTCACTCCGTTTCTCATGCTCATTCGCGCAAGTGATTCAAGGGTAAGGATCCCCAGCTCCAAACTACCAAAAATGCCGACCCTGCGCAAGTAACCCAAGGGTAGGTTTTTCCAGCTCCGAACTCCTCCAAAAGTACTTCAAGGGGACCCACCCTTCTTGTAACCCCAAGCTAGGACTTCCCTGCTCCGAGCCGGACACCGCAAACGGACGCGTCCCAGGGATCCGCGAGCGCTTAAAAAGGGCTCAGCAGGAACTACTCGCTAGGGCCTTACTAAAGCCATCCCTGCGCTGGTCCTTAGGGGCCGGGCTCGGATTGCCACCATTGCAGCCTCTGCAAAAAGAATCAATCAATCGGTCCCCTAAAATGGTTGGTTTGTCTTGTTCCCGCGTCCCTGAGTCACCCCAAGCTAGGACTTTCCAGCTCCGAACCGGTTCGGACGAACCGATTCCAGAGGACAAATCCGTCCGACGCGTCCGAACGCGTCCCAGGCGCTGGGGAAGTGAAACGGGAAGAAGAAGCCTCGGTTGCTTTCTGCTCCCCTGCTAAAAGTGAATAACCTTTTGTGGTTTGATACGGAAAACCCATCAGTTGGCAAAAAGTAATTCAATCCTAACACCCCTTGGCAAAACACAAGGGCAGAGAGGCTGAGCCGAACCATGCCACTGAGGTAATGACTTTGATTTTGGAGGGCCTGTAAAGACATTGCCCAGTCTGGGGCTGTAGAGGGTACACGATGATCCTCCCTCGATGCTCCAATGAGCATCGATCATCCCTATCCCTCCCCCCTCCCTCCCCAGCCCCCTCCCTCCCCCCCTCCACCAGCCCCCTCCCTCCCCTCCCTCCCTCCCCTCCCTCCCCTCCCTCCCTCCCCTCCCTCCCCTCCCCCCCTCCCTCCCCCCTCCCTCCCCAGCCCCCTCTCCTCCCTCCCCTCCCTCCACTCCCTCACCCCCTCCTCCCCTCCCCCGAAGCCCCCACTCCGCTAGCCACCCTCACCCCCTCCGCCCAGCCCCCCCTCCCCCTCCCTCCCCCCCTCCCTCCCCGCCCCCTCCCCCTCCCTCCCCTCCGCCAGCCCCCCCTCCAGCCCCTCCACCAACCCTCACTCCCTCACCCTGGGTTCCCTTTCAAAAAAATGCCTCCCCTCCACCTCCCTCCCCTCCATCCCCCATGAACATTTAGATTAGTTTGTTTTTCCTTTCAAACCAACCATAATAGGAGGGTTCCCTCCCCTCCCCCCCACCAAGCCCCCTTCCCCTCCCTCCCCTCCCCCCCAGCCTCCCTCACCCCCTCCACCAACCCTCACTCCCTCACCCTGGGTTCCCTTTCCAAAAAAATGCCTCCCCTCCACCTCCCTCCCCTCCATCCCCCATGAACATTTAGATTAGTTTGTTTGTTTCCCTTTCAAACCAACCATAATAGGAGGGTTCCCTTTCAAAACAAAACCGCCTCCCTCCCTCCCACCCCCTCCCTCCCCCCTCCCTTCCCCCCTCCCTCCCCCCTCCCTCCCCCCTCCCTCCCCCCCAGCCCCCTCCATGAAAAGCAATGGACATGCCAACTGCTCCAAAGAAGCCCTCCGTGAAGGCCTCCTCCTGGCTCCTCCTGATGGCCAGCGCCTGCGCCTGGACGCCAAATTGATCGCAGAAAAGCCGCCGAAGTTTTGCCCGGGTCCCATGCCGTTGGAGACTCACCGTCTGTGCGCTTTCTGTTTTCCATTTTGGGTGTCTTGGAGGGTTTGTGCTTTTTCCAGGAGAATGTGTTGTGTGTCTTGGAGGGTTTGTGCTTATTTTCCAGGAGTATTTGTTGGGTGTCTTGGAGGGTAGCCTTGTTTTTTAGGAGAACTTGGGTGTCTTGGAGGGTAGCCTTTTTTTCAGGAGAACTTGGGTGTCTTGGAGGGTAGGCCTCTTAGGGGCTGGTTGATCGGGAAACCCAGGCTTCCATTGGTTTTTTCTCACACACAGACCTGACATTAATCACATTATGTTTTCTCCCTCTATCACATATGAATTCCTGTCTATTGTTCGTCTCTGTGTTCATAGGTTTTACCCTGTACCTTCCTACCTTGATGAACAGGAATCAATAGTAGGTAAAAAAGAAAAAAATGAAAAAAAGATGAAGGCAGAAGAATCCCAAGTTCCACGACATCTAATCTATGCCGTTCCCCACCGTCTAACATCAACATCTTGGAAATATTGGAAAAGAACCAGAAAACAAATTAAGATGTCAATGTTTAATGGCAATAATATAGTAATAATATATCTGAACTATAGATGAATAGGAAGGTGTTCCTCTTTCCTGTCTTGTCTATATTAAATTTTTAATATTCAATTTTCATATCATGTCCATATCAATTTCTGTATTCATATCGTGTATTTTAAACATATGATTCATCTGTACGTGTTTTTTGTAATCATTTAATTATCCTTCTCTTTATCCAATCTTGTCTCCAACACACCAGAATGAACCCAAATATGAGAGCGAAGTAAGGACTGCAGGATAAGAAGAAAATAATGTGACAATGACAAGAGATCTTGAATCCAAAGACTTTATCATCCTATCCACATCCTTGCCTCTCGCCTTCCGGATTCTTTGTTTGGCGAGAGATGGGGATGTCATCCCTCAGACCTGAAAATTACTGGTGCTGGATCGTAACATAATGGAAAACAATCAAGGCGAACGAGAAAAGACACCTACAAATCAATCACCTGGCTCATTCAGGAAACCTTTAACGCCGCTTGACCAAGTGTTGTTTTCTGTTCATGGCCAACATGCAAGCCTTACTCATTTGCCCAAAGGACCTACTCTTTTGGGGACACAAAAGTTGACCAAAAGGAATGGACACCCTCGGGCTAAGTTCTAAACTGAACACCAGAGGAACCGGAGTCCCGGATGGGAGGGAACCGTCAAGTCTTAAGCACTGAACAACCTACAAAGCTCGAGGCGACTTGTGTTTGCCGCATCTTTTGCGGATTCTATAGGGTGTAGGGCTTAGTGAACAACCTTCAATACCACTCGAGGTGCTTGTTTTTTTTCTTCTTGTTTTTGCTTTTTTCTCCGCATTCTTCCGCATCTATTCGGCTTTTTCCTTGGGGTTCCGGGTTTAGGGTTGCATGTCCATGTTTGGACAATTTTTGCTAAAAGAGGCTGCGCCGGACGCAATCGGAAGCTTGAGGACCGCGCCGCGGGCTCCGCCATGCCCTCGTCGTAAAAGGGCGTCTGCCCGGACAGGAGCTCCTCGGCGAAGCGTGTCGTTTCTTCGTTCAAGCGGCTGGAAAACGCCGAAGATGTGGGTCTGTCTTTTTGGGCGTACCCCTGTTTTCGCCGTGTTCTTGTCGTTTTTTTTTCCGGAGAGACGTCCCATTTGTTGGAAAAGGCACCCATGTATAAATATCTCTCTCTTTTTTTTTTCTCTCTCTCTCTCTCTCTCTCTCGCTCTCCCGCCCACTAACATAGCCACTGTGGGAGGTGGCCTGGAAGATCAATTTCCTCTTGCCGGGCCGCATTGTCAGGTGCCATGTCAAAGTGGGCACAAAGTAAACCATACACTTCTCAGGCAACCAAACATGGAGTTTTACGGATCCAAAGAGCGACTTTTCAGGAAAGAAGAGGCGTCCCCGAAACCTGCGTTTTCTGACGTTCCCCTCCAGTGGCCCATGGCTGACGTTCCCCTCCAGTGGCCCGTGGCTGACGTTCTGCACCTGTGTTGGTTCCTTTTCATGGGACACTCCATTCCCAAATAGAAACAGAGGCCGAGGTGCCAAAGCTTTGGCCAACACCGAGGGTCATTGAAATTGGTTCTAAGAAATGGGTCCTCTTCAGGGTTTCCGCCAGAAATCCCTTTTGGGAACCTCCAAAAGTGGCTATCTTATCCGCCAAACGGGTCCTTGCCTCTTGTTCCTACCGTGCCCATTGGCATTTACAAGGGGATCATCAATCCTACCGTGTCCATTGGCATTTAGAAGGGAATCATCAATCCAGGGTTTCTGACCGGTGGTGCCTGGTTGACGTTGGAAGGGGAGCAAAAATTCAAGTTTTTCGCAGGTAAGTGGTTGGATTCCAACCACCAAACCACAATAAGCAAAAACGTAAAAGGGTTAGGCCCAGTTATAGAATGCATATTTTATTGTTTGCCTCACTTTGAGTCACTGGTAAAATGTAAAAATGTATCCTAAGTCTACCCCAGAGTAATAGCTCAGATCCTTCTTCCCTGGCCTGATCCTTGCCCTGAAGCCCCTGGGGCCAAGGTGCGTATGTGAGAACGCCTAAGGCCCACCAGTCGACGGCACGGTCGTGGGTGTGAGGGTAATCGATGATCTCCGGCGCCATGTACTCGGGCGTCCCCGCCAGGGTATTGGTCTTGTTCAGCACCTGTGGAGAAAAATACTTGCCCTCCGATTCGCAAGTTGCTGCCCTCCAATTCACCATTCACATGGAACCTGACAGGGACTCGGTCCCTTTCAGTAAACCAGAAAATCTCCGGCAATTCGCGAGCTTGTTTCAAGATTTGATGAAAGGCACCTGCAAATCCCATGCAAACTTTTGTCCGTTGAATTCGTTGTCTTACCCCAGAGCAGATACCTCTCTCGTGCTGTGACCCTCTGACTTGCGTTCAACAAGAGCCGATGATTAATAGACAAACTGGTCGACTAATAAGACTGTGGCCTGTTTTCGGGGGCAACCTTCGCTGTTCCGAGAACGCACCCCCCCCTAAAAAAAATGACATCCACTGGAATTGACTCCAAAAAAAGAAACACCCGGGGCCCGGGGTCCGCTCGACACTAGGCAATGTGGAGACTTTGCAGGGTGCAAAAGCGAACAAAAAAAACCTTCGACTCCGGAACAAGAAAGCCATTCAGCCTGAAATGGGTAAAATTACACTATTACCAAAGCCTGCTCGAGTAGACAAATCTAAGTACCGCAAACCTTCAACAAGGCCCCCCCCCAAAATAAAAAATCCAAATCCTGGAATGCTTTCAAGCTGGGTCTTCAAAGTGGAATATGTTTGAGACACAAATGCCTATTGTCAGATTCCGTTGCATTTGAGAGCCAACCTTAAAACAGAGCATAGTTTCCGAGAAGACCCACAAAGGCCTCGAAAACGGTTTGGATTTCCGCGTTTTTGTGGGTTTGCCCTGTTCTTCCCCCTGTAGGTAATTTCTTAGCATACGCTTTTAGTACTCTGATATCCGGATTCCGCATCCAAACCGCTTCCGAAGGGCTTGGTTGCGTTGGAAGAGGAGCAAAACTTGAATTTTAGCAGTTAAGTGTGGATTTCCCACTAAACCACAACAAGCAAAAACGTAAAATGTTTCCCAGCAACACCCATGAGGGGTGGTGACATGGAGCCGAACGTCCAACTCCGAGCGGCGAATCTCGCAAAGCCCATGTCGCAGAGCTTGGCGTAGCCGCGCCTGCGAGAGAGAGCCATCTGCTAAGAGGTTTTCGCGATCCGTGCGTAGGGGTGTCCAAGGGCTGGGGTGGCAGGAAAATACCTACTTTAGAATTGGTTTAGTATTAGCCATTCTATAAGTAATATTCCCGGATTTGGGATTCTCAAAAGTCGGTTCTAGCACTAGCGGAACCATCAGCATTAGGAAGAAGGGGTTACTGAGAGAGAGAGAGAGAGAGAGAGAGAGAGAGAGAGAGGGGGAGAGAGAGACTTTTGTGATCCAGGTCTTGAATGAGACACGCTTTGTGAATCAACCAGAGGTTTGCTCTTGGGCGCAAGTGACCCCCCCCATCTGTCTCCAAGCTGGGGCGAGAGCTCGTCCAGCATGGCGTTCTCTGGCTTCACATCTCCTGGGTGGAGGGTCTACATTTTTACCAAAATGGGCTCGTTGTGGTTTCGGTTTCCTTTTGGTGGCAATTCGGTGAGTCGGGAGGAAGCCCCCGGATTCGACAATGGCCAACTTGTTCTTGGGCAAAGCTGACAAAACCCACAGCCGCCAACTCACAACTCATGAGCTTCCGCTTGTTTATACGTGCGCGGAACAAAATAAAAGATTCCCTTAAGAGCCAATAGGGGACACAAACACATACCCTTGAGCAAATAAACGTATGCCAAATGTGGCTGTTTGCCCTGCAGTGATCCGATGGGTAAAACCGGGCTGGAACGTCTGCTTGGGAATGACTTCTATCAGTGCTTCCCCCAAGCCACCGAATGCACCCGGTGAAAGGGTGTCGCTGAAGCCTGGAACAGTTAAACAGCCCCCTTTTGGCATCTTTCTCGGATAGTCCCACTGAGGCAGGGCTTTGCTGAGCCCTAAGATGGCTTCCACTACCGCGCTGTATGTGTACCCAACATTACCCAACTTTATATGGGGATTATCTAGCATTATTTGTCTAAGCACCCTCATTGCCGGCCTTTCCTGCTCGAATCGCGACCACAGAGGGGCCAATCGCGGAGCAAACTTGGTATTGTTGCCCATCTTGCCAGCAACCATGTGGGTGTTACCCGGCCCAATCGCCGGCCTTTCGCGATGCAGGTTTTATCAATCGCGCCCTGTTAACAAAATACCCAAATACATAGATTGAAGAGATGCCTTTGCGGACGGCACCCATAGGGACCATTCAACCCCTGGAAGCAAACTACTTACACACAAATATGTATATATATATATATGCATATGTACATATCCATGTATATATCTAACAAATATGCTGCCCCCCTCCCCACGTCCTGAAAAAACACAAGACTCAAAACAAACAATCGATGACCTTTTCCACACCACACCGGACATCTACAGGTTTGCTTTTTCTTTCCATTGGGGTGGTGATTCATAGTGTGGATGGACAGATCATCCGCTTCGCACCGTTCAGAAACCCTGGAAGGGTCTGATTCTCATGTAAATACCAAACAAATTATGGTTTCCCGTGGTCCGTCCCCTGGTTTCCAAGTGGTGTGAAACGGATTTCGTCCATGCCGAGAGGGCCGAGTGGCGGTGCACGATGAAGCGCTCGTGGAGGTGCGCCAGGGCCAGGACGATGCAGGCCTCCGGCAAAGTGGACTTCTCTTCAGCGGGTTCTCAGAATCCAGAAGAACCCAAACCAACTTAGCGTTACCTGATGTATATAAGATATATAAAGCATATATATATATATATACATTAAGGTGTGTGTTACAAATGGTAGGGAATTACCTGACGTATATATATATATATAGTATACAGGTGTGCATTGCTTTGTAGGGATTAACCGTGCTGCGGACAGGTTCATATAGAGCCCAAACAACATGCTTAAGGAAGAGATGGGGAATGCCCTTGCTGTCCACGTAGCCATGGAACCTCACACGGTGCTGGAAGACCAATTTCCGTTAAAACGGCGCGTTCCGTGTTAGTGGACAGGAGGGTAACTGCCCCCATTTGCTTTTTCGTCTGGGACAAAAACATATTTCCGCGAGTGATAGATTTCTCAATCTGGCTGACCCAATTACAAGAATAACCTTGTGACCCAACTTGGATACTGTTGAACCCGGATTAATATCCCCTTTTAGTGGGGATTCAGACCACTTTTGGAGGGAACACCCCCCTAATAGTGGGACGGGTTTATTAATCCTGGGTCAACATTAAAGCTGCTAAATGGTAAACCACTGTGCTTTGCGTGAGTGCTAAGAAAAAACCCCTAGGGTGGGGTGAGCTTGCAATGGTGAAGGCAGCTGAGTGGATTCAACAACCAGTGAGAAACAAGAAACTTACCACGGAGGATGGTAACTTCAGAACCTGAGGTGGCAAATCTTGAAGTGGGGGTTGAATACCACATCCTCAAGTGGATTCGCCCCTTTCATTTCTGGTTAACTGGGCTTAGCACAAACAAATTCCGCGCCAGCGCGGACTTTTAGGTGACCTCCTGGTAGATGTTTCACGCCTTTCCCTTGGACTTCCACCGGACGCACGCGCCACCGCGCCGCGCCCGCACGCGTGAATCACGCCAGAAACGGGCCACGGCTTCGCGTCGTTTCCAGGGGGCCCCGGCCACGTAAAAGGCCGCCGCCGAGCCCCGGGGCCGGTCCTCCATGAAGACCTCGCGAGGTTGTTTGGTCGACGTGAGTGGTCTCTCAGATGGTTTCGGCTAGCCATCTGAACCACGCCTTATTTTTTTTGATGGGAAAGAAACCACCACACCAAAAAGCCAGAGGGCAAACACCCCTTTGCTGGGGTAGTGGCATCCATCAGTAGGGAATGAGGGGGATATACAACCACAAAAACACTCGGATGCCCACTGGATTTCCACAGGAAGAAAAGGATCGGCATCCGACTTTTTTGGGTTGGTTGAGTTTAAAGGAATCGGAAGCCTTCCCCAAAAAGTTGAAAAAAAAGGGGGCGGAATCCATTGGGCACCTGGGAAAAGCCAATATATATAGGGGCAAAAAACCAATTTCAGCCTGGGGGTAATGGTTTGGGGGTAGTGGCATCCATTTGTCTTACAGTTTCATCTCCAACTGAAAAAAATAAACCTTTAAGGGGATGCCGACTTGTTCATTTCCTCATTCCCTGAGCAGAAGCAAGGTATTGATATCTAGGATTTGTGCAGTTGATGTTTGGTTTGGGACTTGTGCTTGGGGGCTTTGTGGCACCAGCAATATGCTTGGTCGATACTTGGTTCCGTCAAAGCGAATCCCAGGGAAAAGGGATGTTGACTTCATCCTGGGAAACCTCACCCAGCCAGGCGGGCACATGCACGCGCCAAAGAATTTGCAGATTCAACGGAATGCGGTGATGGCCTCACTGACGCCTGTTTCCCAGCGTCTCCTCCTTGAACCTGTGGGTTTTGGGCTGTGATGCCTCCGCCCCCTTCAGCAACATCCCAGCCCAGGACAACCCTTTTATAGCAATCCACCTCGCAGTCGGCTCAACCTGGCAGAAAGCTACAGCCTTCGAAGGCATGATATCCTATGCTGACAGAGTTGGGGATGGCGACGCTTGTCAATGAGCTGCAGCCTTCAAAGGCACCAAATCCAATCGAAGTCACGGAGCTGGGAATGGTCACGCTTGTCAATGAGCTGCAGCCTGCAAAGGCACCATGTCCAATTCCAGTCTCAGTCACGGAGCTGGGAATGGTCACGCTTGCCAACGAGCTGCAGCCTGCAAAGGCACGTTCCGCAATCTCAGTCACGGAGTTGGCAATGGTCACGCTTGTCAATGAGAAGCAGTCTTTGAAGGCATCACCCTCAATCACAGTCACGGAGCTGGGAATGGTCACGCTTGCCAACGAGCTGCAGCCTGCAAAGGCACGAGGTCCAATCTCAGTCACGGAGTTGGGAATGGTCACGCTTGCCAATGAGAAGCAGTCTTTGAAGGCACCAAATCCAATCGAAGTCACGGAGCTGGGAATGGTCACGCTTGCCAACGAGCTGCAGCCTCCAAAGGCACGATGTCCAATCCTGGTCATAGAGTTGGGCATGGTCACGCTTGTCAATGAGCTGCAGCCTGCAAAGGCACGTTCCGCAATCTCAGTCACGGAGTTGGCAATGGTCACGCTTGTCAATGAGCTGCAGTCTTTGAAGGCATCACCCTCAATCACAGTCACGGAGCTGGGAATGGTCACGCTTGACGACAAGCTGCAGCCTGCAAAGGCACGATGTCCAATCCTGGTCACGGAGTTGGGAATGGTCACGCCAAATAATGAGCTGCAGCCTTCGATTCAAAGGCACCCAATCCAATCAAAGTCAAGGAGCTGGGAATGGTCACGCTTGCCCACGAGCTGCAGCCTGCAAAGGCACGATGTACAATCCTGGTCACAGAGTTGGGAATGGTCACGCTTGCCAATGAGCTGCTGCAGCCTGCAAAGGCACCAATTGCAATCCCAGTCATGGAGCTGGGAATGGTCACGCTTGCCAACGAGCTGCAGTCTGCAAAGGCACCAGGTCCAATCTCAGTCACGGAGCTGGGAATGGTCACGCTTGCCAACGAGCTGCAGCCTGCGAAGGCACCAAATGCAATCCAAGTCACGGAGCTGGGAATGGTCACGCTTGCCAACGAGCTGCAGAGTGCAAAGGCACCAGGTCCAATCTCAGTCACGGAGCTGGGAATGGTCACGCTCGCCAACAAGCTGCAGCCTTCAAAGGCACCTGGGAATGGTCACGCTTGCCAACGAGCTGCAGCCTGCAAAGGCACCAATTGCAATCCCAGTCATGGAGCTGGGAATGGTCACGCTTGCCAACGAGCTGCAGCCTGCAAAGGCACCATGTCCAATTCCAGTCTCAGTCACGGAGCTGGGAATGGTCACGCTTGCCAACGAGCTGCAGCCTGCAAAGGCACCAAATGCAATCTCAGTCACGGAGCTGGGAATAGTCACGCTTGCCAACGAGCTGCAGTCTACAAAGGCACAAGGTCCAATCTCAGTCACGGAGCTGGGAATGGTCACGCTTGCCAACGAGCTGCAGCCTGCAAAGGCACGTTCCGCAATCTCAGTCACGGAGTTGGCAATGGTCACGCTTGTCAATGAGAAGCAGTCTTTGAAGGCATCACCCTCAATCACAGTCACGGAGCTGGGAATGGTCACGCTTGCCAACGAGCTGCAGCCTGCAAAGGCACGAGGTCCAATCTCAGTCACGGAGTTGGGAATGGTCACGCTTGCCAATGAGAAGCAGTCTTTGAAGGCACCAAATCCAATCGAAGTCACGGAGCTGGGAATGGTCACGCTTGCCAACGAGCTGCAGCCTCCAAAGGCACGATGTCCAATCTCAGTCACGGAGCTGGGAATAGTCACGCTTGCCAACGAGCTGCAGCCTGCGAAGGCACCAAATGCAATCTCAGTCACGGAGCTGGGAATGGTCACGCTTGCCAACGAGCTGCAGCCTGCAAAGGCACGTTCCGCAATCTCAGTCACGGAGTTGGGAATGGTCACGCTTGCCAATGAGAAGCAGTCTTTGAAGGCATCAGCTCCAATCACAGTCTTGTCTCCGGAAATTTCCAGCACCAAAAAGTCGTCCACCTCGCAGCCAGAGGCTTGGAAGCTTGAGCACCTTACCGGCTGGATGCTGAGGAACGCCAGGACTTCTGTACCTGGAATGGCCTCCGACACTGGCTCCTCGTTGTTTAACAGGGGCCTTTCTCCAAAAACAATCCCCACCGAGCTCATGTTGCGCTGTGGTTCATCTTCGCAGGGCAGCCACCCATGCAGCTCCCTTTTTAATTCACGGACGGTCATGCCTGCCTGCACTTCAAACGCTCTGTCTGCCCCATTCAGCTGCCGCACCGTAATCCTTCTGGCCATGGCCGGTATCCGTTCGACTACCAAGTGGATTCTAGCAAACTAGTGTCAATGCTGTGCTAGAGGTTCCTGCGTGATGTCCGGCTTGGCTGGGCACCTGGTGCCGATGCTTGGATGTGGCAGCTTGCTTTTTGAGCCAGCTTTGAGCAATGCTTCTAGGTCCCTTGCGGGTACTTTGAAACAAATCCTTATATGATCATAGAGCAACAACTGCTCCACATGATCCTAGCGCATGGGTTGTCCTTGATACGCCTGCAAAGAACTACCGAATACAAAGCACACAATTGCTGCAGGACCCGACTTTCTGGTTCCTTCCTGTTTAGGTTACAAGTGAAATCCCAGGGTGGAGTTGTCCAATATAAGGCTATCACTTCCAAGGTGGTCCCCTTATTATCACAGCAAATGGCAACCCAAACGATACCCCTGGCTTTCACATTTAGTGCCATGTTGCTGGTAATGAGAACCCAGCATAAATAAACATCGTTCGTTTCATTTCAGGGGAAAGAGCCAAACATTGACTATGGCAAAGGACACACTTGACTATTATCATCCCTGCGTGCCGTCAACGTTGCTGAAACACCGGAAATCACTTGGCCAGACTTAGGCCTTCTGCACAAAAACAAGCTTGCCTAAGGACAAATATTGGAAAATGCAGAAACCGAAGGGGCAAAGTGCTTCCAGGGGATGGGCTTCGTTTCGCCAATTTCCTCTAGGTCCTCCAGTAGAGCGCTTAGAATACGGGTACCCAATTTTCTGTACTCGATTTTTAGTAGGGTCCCGAACCCTCCCAACCGAAAAAGGGGTGAGAAAGGGCACCTAGCCGGACCCAAAGGGCCTCGGAGTGGGTGTGCAGGAGTTCCATGAGATTTCCCCCCAGCGCGGCTTCCATCAGGAAGAAGATGTGCTGATTGTCCGACAGCCTCTTCCGGGCGGGGGGTGGGGGGGCAGGGGGGGGGGGAAGGGGGGGGGGTTCAGGCGCTTTGGTTCCAGGGACATCTGTGGACTGCGTGGACAAAACCCTGTACCAAATGGGGTGGAAACCCTATCAATAGTTTCTCTTGGAAATAACCTAACATGAGTGCCCCCCTCAACAGCATCAAGGAATCTTGAATGAAGGCGTAACAGGAGGCCTCACCCATGCACCCTTGCAGTTCTCACTTCCGATCGAGTGGATTGGCCAAACAAAAACATAACCCAAACTTTTTGGGAACGCCACTTCGACCAAACCCAAAAAGTGATTAAAATCCGCAACGGAACTCAGGGAGCGAGAGTTTTCCCTGGCACGCAGGGCAGCAGGCAGCGGGGCAGCCTTCTTAACTTCTGCTACTCACAATGTTTTTTGTTTTCTCACGCATACATTGCACTGCGGCTTGTGTTTCCCTTGTGTCGTGTTGGCATTCAAGCAGTTTGGGCCAAGGTCAAATTATGTTTGAGGATGTCTGGGTTTTTTTACATTGGTTGATAGCAAGCTTCACGCCGCTACTTGGTTTGGCACTTGTATCTTCAAACAAGCCCTGCGCATGTCACAGGCACAGCAATGCGCCAAAGAACGCCATTTGTCTTGAAAACACCGATAAAAACAAACGCTGATGGACTTTCAGACTCTTCTGTTTGCTTTCAGAAAACATGCGTTTCGACAAAGAATGCAAGTCTTTACACGTGGCCGAAACATAAGGGGTACTTCGGGACTCCAGTTGATACTGGATATGCACGTGTGCATGCGCATGTGCCCTTGTGCCGTATGCAACAAGATGCGGGTGACTTGGCGATCAACACGGGCTCTTCAATTTTGCACCTGAGCATTGGTAAAACAGCTTATGCTTCTGGATGCTTTATGGGCATCTGGGCAAATACGACATTTGCCATCCCATGTTGGTTTCCCCAAAAGGGGGGATCTGGATTGGTGGCTTGCGGATTCGAAACCCAGACTAATGTTGCTGTAGCATGGGAAAGCTAACCCCCCTACCAAACTTTAACCAATCCGAACCGGTTAATTAGGCGTAAGGTGAGCTGCAATCTTTCCAGAAGCCCTGACCAAGCCCTACCTCCAAGCCAAGGCGTAAGGTGGGCCTTTTTCAGAAGGCCAGGTCTCTCCTCTTTGCCCCTTCCAGCTTGCCAAGGCGCGTCCGGTGCAAGCGAATCACGAAAGGGCCTGAGACACGCCGTGCGAGAGATGGGAATGAAAAACGGAATGGCCCCGAGAAAAGCCATCCAAACTGGTGTTTCCTTTAAGGGGACCCTGGGTTCCCACCTTCCCTGCTGAGCACCAGCAAGCTGTGGCTGCGGCCAAAAAAGGTCCCATGGCACCTTGGCACCTTGTCAATGGAAGACTCAAGCCTGCGGTTTGCCCTAGCTCTTTTATTTTGAGCCGCGCCTGGGACCCAAAACATGTTGTGGTGTTCCTTTGGTTTTCCTTTAAACCCAACCAAAAGGCACCCCCCCAAAAAAAAACAAAAACAAAAACAGACACACCCAAGTGAGCCATGGTCCGAACTTCTTGCCACCCCAAACTACATCGGCACACATCCCGTTTTGCGGGTGTTGCATCGACTTGAGGATGGAAACACGTTGAACGACCGTGCGCCCTTGTGCAAGTCATATGTGCCCTCTTGGATTCCATGCAACAGAGACAAGTCCAAATAGGAGACCGTTCCTTTCCCATGCTCCAAACTGTAGGTGGTGTTCATGAAGAGGGTCAGCCATACCTCAGAACCCTTCATGCCACCCAAAGCTCCCTGATTTGACTGGATTCTTCAACAAGGAAAAACTCGTACATTCTATACAACAAGTGACACACCCACCTGTCATCACGACTGAGGCTTCGAGCGAGGAAATCCGGCCTAGCCGTGCTATGTTGCACAAAGAGGCGCATGCCGCCGACCCCTCGCACCGTCTGCATGCCCAGCGCCTTTGGTGCATCACCGCCCGCGCGACCATTGGAGCGAGAGTTGGGGGAAGGCTCAAAACATGGCAAATATCAGCAACCCGGCTGCATCCCCCAAACCAATCCCAATGACGCGTGCGCGCGCACGCGCCGCACACACGCCCTTGCGCAACGCGCGGGCTGCACGCACGCAACCAACCAACCAACCAACCAACCAGCCAACCAACGAACCAACCAACCAACGAACCAACCAACCATCCATCCATCCATGCCTTCCATCCATACATATCCACATCCATCCATCCATCCATCCATCCATCCACATCCACATCCACATCCACATCCACATCCACATCCACATCCACATCCACATCCACATCCACATCCACATCCACATCCACATCCACATCCACATCCACATCCACATCCATCCACATCCATCCACATCCATCCATCCATCCATCCATCCATCCATCCATCCATCCATCCATCCATCCATCCATCCATCCATCCATCCATCCATCCATCCATCCATCCATCCATCCATCCATCCATCCATGCCTTCCATCCATACATATCCATCCATCCATCCATCCATCCATCCATCCAGCCAGCCAGCCAGCCAGCCAGCCAGCCATCCATCCATCCATCCATCCATCCCATCGATCCATCCATGCCTTCCATCCATCCGTCCGTTCATCATCCATCCAGCCAGCCAGCCATCTAGCCAGCCATCCATCCATCCATCCATCCATTCATCCATCCATCAATCCAGCCATCCAACTTATCCACCCATCCACCCACCCATCCACCCATCCACCCTACCATCCATCCAGCCATCCACCATCCATCGCGCACGGCTCGGTTTTTCCTAAACAACTCTCCCGGGCACGCGAGGCCGGTGCGCGGAGCCTCAGCGTGAAAATAACACCAAGCAATGGAACGCCGGAAGGAATCCTGGGATCCGGGGCTGTCGACCATTGACAGAAGCTCCCGCTCCCAACGAACCTGTCGTACCACGCCCTTCCGCTGGATGTGGCCCTTTGACATCACCTGTGACCGAGTCGAGTCCGGCCTCGGCGCCGACCTCGCAAAGGAGGCACTCAGATGCCCAGTGGATTTCCATCTTAAAAAAGCCATCCCTTTTTGGTTGATTGACTTTAAAGGGGGGCCCTTCCACAAAAAAGAGACAAAAGGGCACCACTGTGCAACTGGGGGAAGAAAGAACGGGGTGCTTCTCATATTAGGGGTGTCTTTTTGTGGGGGTACGTCGTTTTGGTGGGTTTTAGAGGGACACCAAAAGGAAACCAACCAATTTGAGGGTCCTCAAAACAAAGGACACTCCCGGGCTCTTCAAGAATGGGTTGGTCTCCTCTTTGCTTTCCGCGAAAATGGTGTCCTGGTTTGATTGTTGCTTGGCTGTTCCCCTAAAATTGCGAGGGTTTCTTTTTGGCTTTAGCCAAAAGGGGGTCCACCATGTTGAGAAACTACCCTTACTCAGACTTACAACTTACCCTCCCAGCAAATAACATGGACGCTGACCTTCGGGGGGGTCCTGGTTTGGAACGTGTTGCTTTTACTAAAGCAAGGTGAAATTCTCTCAGGTTCCGGGCGAGGGTGGGAGGGCACCCTTTTCCAAGCCCTTCTTATTGCCTCCCTATCCACCAAAATGCCAGACCCAAAAAGAAACCGTGACAACTTGAGCACTTGAGGTTGTACCTCCTGCTTCTTATGGGTCAAGCCATGAATTCGTGGCTTCCGCCACGGAGAACTCAGATGAACATTTCCGAGCACATCTTATGTCAAGCCCGGATGGAACCATCGACTTAGCCCAGCTTTCGCCATTGTTTTAGCTTGCTTACTAAATAGGTTGGACATCCTTAAGAGATTGATTAACCCGCAAAAAAGTCAATGGTTCCCACGGCAGAACATGCTTGACGTGACTTTTAGAGCTGTGGCCCAAACTTCACAAGCCTATGGTGGCAACAACTTACTGTTTTTTGCAGCCCCGCTAACCGAACAGAATCAAAACAACTCAAAAAACAACTTGATCCAGAACCAGTGAAGCAAATGTATCAAACCACTCTACCAAGGTTTGGAGTTCTGTGGCCCAAATGTGGCCATGGGTCAAAGCCCGTACCCAGTGACCATCCCAATCCCCTCTAAAATAAAGCCTAAAATGGGTGGTGCACCTACCAACCAAAACGAGATCCCAAAACGGTTTTGACCACAGCCACGTATCCTTCCCCAAGACTCCCGCTGTGCCGTGGCCTTCTTTTTTCAAACCGGAGATCTCGGGTTCCGCATGTCCGGCCTTGAGCGCGTAAGGCTTCTTGCGCACCGTGTCCTGGCTCGATGGAGTGGGGTCGCAACCCCAGACCCCCAGTGCCCCGTGCTTTGGACAGATCCCCCATGGCCGGGGGCCCAAGGAACCTGTCGGATTCCCCAAAGGCACGAGGATCCGAGGCCGACTTTCGCTCTTGGAATTCGGATTCGGCCCTTGGGGGATCATGGGGAAAAGTCAAAGAACTTAACAAAGTGACAAAGTTGTCTTAGGATTCCCTTCAAAGCTTGGAATATGACTTGTTTGCATCAAATTCCCAGCAAACTCCCTTCCGGCCAACCCCCAAAAAAAGGCTGCCTTTTTTTTTTTCTTCTTCCTTTCTTTGTTTAAAGAGCATAGACGTCTCCGGTTGGATTTGTTCATGGTTTGGATCCGCTTGGGGCGTCTAGCCCACCTTTCAAGGGTCCCCTTCAATTCAAATTTGACTCACGACCTGGGTGGGTTGGCCAAAAACAAGTGCAAACAAAACCTTTGGTTTACTCATCCAAAAACGGGTCTTCCTAAGTACAAAGTCCAGGAACTCAGGTGGATTCCCGTACAACTCATTTGCAACCAAAGCACCCAGAAATAAGAGGTGAGCACCTTTTGGGGCCACTAACAATTGGGACCCAACGATTTGCTGGTGCGATAGGTAGGGAATCACCGGGTGTCGGGAATGAACTGGCTTTGGGGATTCCCTTAAAGGAAGCCATGGGGGGGATGGTTTATAGGGGTCATTCCCCCATTCCCTGCTGAGAAATGCTGAGAACCAGCAAGATGTTCTGCCATGGAGCGCGGCGATGCACTATAACAAGCGTCTACCAAATGACTCATAGCGCATTCACTTCAAGTATCCCACAGCTTGTGCGGAGTTTTTCTGCGCCCTTATGTTTGACCTTCAACCCCAAACCCGATCTAAAACATGTTGTACTCTCTTCTTGAGTGGGGCCAAAAACAAGCCCCACACTTTCAATGTTTACCGCTCAAATGGCAACCAGAGCCATTTCAGTGGCCAAAGTCCGAGTTCAAGAACTCGAACGGGAGTGATGTTTCTTCCATCCTTAGCGGACACACGTTGACCCCAGTTGTCCTCCGCGGGAACCCAAACTAGGTCCTCCAGATTTGAGAGGTTAGAATAAGTTGGTACCCGATTTTTGCTCTGTAGTCACTGTAGTCTATGTTAGTAGGGGAAACCCTCCCCCAAAAAAGGAAACGGCAAAAGGGCACTGGTGGACCCAGCAGTCAGATCCAGCCGCTCGCTCGGTCGGGGCACCCGCCTCCACCAGCAAAACCTCCCCGTACGCGCCCCGGCCCAAAAGCCCCAACCTGGGCTCGTCGGGGCGCGGTGCGGTGACCTCCGAAAACGGCCCAAAACCAAAAAGTGACTATAGTCCAGGAACTCAGGAAGTGAGGGGGAACACCTGGGGTCTTCCAAGTATGTTCGGAGTCTGAAAGACAGAACATCTCGCTGTCGACCGAAGCTCATTCCGCTGAAACCTATGGGTTCCCCAAGCTCTAGTGTGGTTTGGAGCATTCAGGGAGCGGAGGGTTGCAGAGGGGTCGGGGCTCTCTTATTGTTTCCCAGGCTCGGCTCCTCAGATCTCTGCAACTTATTCTTCTTCACCCATTATCAGCTTTGGACTCCCAAGAAATACCTGAACGCCGCATCCCGCCCTCTGATAACGCCGCCCAAACAAAAAAACTGCCGACTCACATGGTCCAGATCCAGAAAGCATCAGGTCCGCCTCAAACGGCGACCATTCAAACTCGCCGGAAACCGGCGAACAAAAAGGCCAAGGATGTCTCCGAGGAATTCAACTTCGGCCAAGGAAGCCCACTTGCGAACCGAAAGATGGTGAAAACCGGGATGCTGAGGCCGAATGTGTGTTCTTAAAGGACCATCTTTGAGTCTTTGTTCCAAACGGGGGCCAAGGAAATATCTTGAGAAATCGCCACGCCCACTTGGACAGTCCGGGTTTTCGCAAAGGTGGTTAGTCACCCCATGTCCCCCCCCAGTTTAGCGTCAAATGAAAAGGGATGTTCACCATTCTAAGGGTACCTTCTTTCCAGGGATCCTTCTTTCTAGACAACCTCGGGAAACCCAGGGAAACGGCTGGTAATTGACCATAGGCGGAACCGCTGTTTTTACCCCGAGGCTCGTTTTGACCGACATTCTTTTTTCCAGGACAGCTTGGGTGTCGTTCAGGGTAGCCTTAGTGCGGCTGGTTTAAAGGGAAACCAACGGGGGCCCCCTGTTTTGAGACAAAAAGCTTTTGAGCATGCTGGCACGCTATAGGTAGGGAATGACCTTCCAAGTGTTCGGAATGAACCCTGGGTCCCGTTAAACAAAAAAGCTGGATGGAATTTATAAGGGTCATTCCCATTCCCATAGGTGTCCTTTTTGCGGAAATAGATGGCACTGGTAGTTGATTAAACCACCAGGTAAACCAGGAATCGCCATCTATTCTTCTACCAAAACAACCAAAAAGGACACCTATGGAGTCATTCCCCTATTCCCTGAGCAGTTAGCGCAAGTTCAGGGCTCCCTATATTTCCCCTCAAAACATCAGCTTTATGAAGGGAAGCTCACCTTAAATGGGCAAAAAAGGTGATGTTCAAATCCACCAAGCAGGGAACTGTAGGGACCCCTGAAGTTCGCCGACTCCCACTGTGCCAAGGTGCTTTGCGAACTTCTCCAAGGAATCCTTGGCGTTGGAGGGCCCCAGCTGGTTAGCTTCCGAGTTCACGCGCCTCCTGGCGAACCGAGTGGAGTTGACGTTGCCGTTGTGCCCCGGAAAAGAATACATGTGGAAACTGAAAAATTAAAATGGGGGAGGGGGTTGTGGGGGGAACTTGGAACACTTGAGGAGCGGGTGAACGAAAGCTAGCAGTTGTTGCATGAGATGGGTCGGTGACAGAGTGGATTCATAGGTAGCTTGTGTACAACGAGAGGCCCGGCAAGACTCGTAGGATGCGACACGCAAACGCACATGGTGGCGTGGCAAACCTTGAAAAATGAAAACAACGAGAGGCGTCAGAAGCTGTCTGAAAGCACCTCTGGGTTCTGCATGCTGCGTGTGCAAAGATTCTTGCGAGGTGGTTTACCGAGAAGACTGAGGTCTCAAATGAACAAGCTGAATCGGTGGAACATGTAAAAGTTCGTAGCACCAAGTCCAAAACGGGCAAACCGAGACTGCTGAACACTGAGCCACTGCCCGGGGGGGGGGATGGACCAGGGAGGAATCGAGCCTGAGACCCGGGGGGGGGGGAGGGGGGGGGGTCTAAATAATTGATGTTTTTCAATCTTTTCGGCTCAAATAATTGAAAAAATCAATCTTTCGGCATTTGAGCCCCTTACCTTGCTTACGCAAGGAGAAACTTCAGCTAGCTAAAGCTAGCTTTCGTGACAAACACTTGGGGGGGCTGGACAATGACCATCCCCCTTTGGCCTCTTTAAGGAATGTTTGCAACCCAGTCTCGTCTCCGAGTCCTCTGGTTGCAAGTGAGTAGCTGTTCGATGATCTGAAACCGGAAACAATTGGAACAAGAAAACGAGTCCGCCCCTGGAGGGTCCCTATATTATATGTTTGTTTGGGTGGAGTTAAGCATCACCTTTTCAGGTCAAGATGAGCTTGTCTTGGCACCTGGCTGTTCAGCCAGGCGAGGGAAGTGGCTAGTAGCTTGGGGTATAACTTACTTAGAAGCCCCCCAAGTGGAAGTAGCTTGTAATCTAGGTGACTAACCACTTACTCACTTACTTACTTACTTACTTAAATACTTACTTGGCCACCCAAGGGGTATTTTGAGCGGAAATACCATAGGTTGCTGGGTTGGAAAGGCAAACAAACAGCCTAGCTCGCATTGGGTAGCTGGACCCCCTCAGTTGCACAGCGACCCTTGAAACCCAGTTGTGGGACCATGTTTGGTGGGAAGAAAGGCTACAGAGTGCCTGGGAGTCAGAGTTCCCATGATTTACTCTGGGTGTGTCGTTTTTTAAAGGGGACCCCTAAAATGGTTGCTTTCCGTTTGGGCTCCCTTTAAAACACCCAAAAAAAGGGTCTGAAAAGAAACACACGCAGGTCAGGAAGGGCTCGAAAGGGCGGATGCCGCCTTTCTCTAGAACAATCAATCTGGCGGAATCTGCCCGGTTGCGCCTTAGGGACCCAGGAATTAGAACTTAACCTTTCGAGGCCATAACTAAGAGTGGACCAACAAGGGAACACCAAAAGGTCAGATGTGGGTTGATTCGCTTTGGTTGCAGGTGAGTATAGGCAATGAGTAAAATATGACATAGTAAAATGACGGCCAACAGTTGTGCCCACTGGGCCACCCTCGCCAGGTGCAATCCTCCAGCTTTCGGGACAAAACATCCCTGTGATGGAACAGGGTGAGTCGAACCGGCTCCCGGCGGCTGTCCTAGCTTTCAGCTGGCACCATTCCTCGACATCCGCATAGATATCCTGAAGCGACAGGTCTGGGTCAAACTTCTTACCCCTTAAAACTCCAAGCCCTGGGGAAGTTAATCTTTTACAGACACTTTTCGCCCATGTTACCCAAAAAAGTTGAAAAGTTGTGGTTTTAAGAGGTCAAACTTTGTTTTCAGGTATCTCCCGAAGAGCCGTCGATCTGCCAGCCCATTTGTCCCCGGGAACCCCGGCGCCCGGAAAGGCGATCGCCCTTCCAAACGTCTCCACCAGCTCCCGAATCCAAAAGGAAGGAGCTGCAGTTCCATGCTTGCTGGGAGGGTTTTTGGGGGTTTTGGCGTCCACAGAAACCGCAAACGCCGCGCTTTTCGAACCTGTGGCTCTGAACCAAAGGTGTCTTTTTTGAGGACACCCTTTTGGCTGGTTTATATGGAAACTGAATGGAGGCCACCTTTTTTGGGGGTACCCAAATTTTAAGACACTTACTGAAACTGAGGAAATCCAAACATCATTGCTCGGATCGATTCGCTCAAGTGCGAAAGGAGCCAGCAGCAAACCCCCACACTTGCTTCATGGACCTTTGCCAAGACATCATGACAGCCCAAGTCATGAAGTACCAAGCCCCTTGTACATCTGCCATTGAAATGCTGAGCATTGGATACTCAAACAACGGCAGCATTCCGTGCTGTGTGGAGAACTGAACCCTCCAAGAACCCTCCCACAGAATCATTTCGCATCTCCTTGCTTGTTGCTTCTTGGCGCAAGGTGGGGGTGGTCCCGTTCTGGGGAGGTGCATGGTGCTGCTAGGGATATTTCTCGTTTGTTCTATTTATTTGGCAGGCTCGGACAAATGCGCAAACATGGCACCATGGTAATTAAATGGATCCAAAGACTAACGCCCTATCCCTGGCTCGCTCATCTTGTCTTTCCTTCCTTTTTATTATTTTCCCTCGGCTGAAAGCTAAGGGGTCACAGCCCAAAGGTTTGGGGCCCCGTGTCTCGGAGCTGGATCCGGAGTCAGGTTCGAGCAAGGATCAAAGGAGGTCCCGCGGTCTAGCGGAGGCCAGGGGTAAGCAAGGAAGCTTCCGGATGCGGGGCCTGGTGGCCAGGTGGCCAGACAGGGCCAGGTGACAGGGCCAGGCAAGGTTCCGGGGGGCCAGGGGTGAGGTTCAAACAATGGCTCCGGGTGTCTGGTGCAGAACAGGCCGTAAGGTTCAAGGAAGTGGTGTGCCAGGGTTTGGGGTCGTTTGGGGTCTCAGCCCAGACACCGCGGCTCTGAGGCAAGCTATTCGCAGGCTTTGGCGAGCGTTACGAGGTTTCGGGTGGTTTGGGGAGGCTCTGTGCAAGGGCTCTGGTGGTCTGGGGCGGCTCTGAGGTAAGGTTTCGCAGGGTTTGGCGAGGGTCGAAAAAGAGCGCCGCGTGCTGTTGGGGATATCGCCTAAAATACAGAACTCCTCTTAAGGAATCCAACAAGCCGTTTAAGAGGAACTTCTTCCATGGGCTTTATAGTGAATATCTTGTGGGGGAAATTCGGACCCAACTAAACCAACTAAAAGATCTAAACAGCTGCAAAGTGAAGCACCCCATGGGAACCAGCTGCAAAGCTCACTTGCCCCTTAGGGACCCAGAAATAAAAGGCGACACCTTTGGGGGTCATGACTAAAAACTAGACCAAAAAGGAGAAACCAAAAGGTCAGATCAGGTCGATTCGCTTGGGGCAACTGAGAAAGTGCTCCCTTCGCCCGGCCGAACTGCACATCAGCTCATGCGGTTGCTGGCGGCCGGGAGGCTGGGATAAAGCCCGGCGACTCCGTGTAGATTCCTGGCGAAGGCTTCGCCCCGCAGCCCCTTGTTGGAACATGTGGGGGAGTGTGTGTGTGTGTTTCTGGGTAAGCTTGCTTTGGTGTGGTTGAAAAGGAAACCAAAAGGAACACCACTCATTTTAGGGGGTCCTGCAACTTTGATGCATACCCAGGTTCAAACTTCTGCCACTGGCCATTGGGCTTCTTTAGAGGGCTTGGGTTGAAACAGAGTTTGCGCAACCCTAAGCAACACCGGCAGGTAGTGGGATGGGTCTTGCATGCTCGGGGTTGGTGCCCCCTGATTCCCCCATGGTATCTCTCACCATCTACAGGGTCTGCAATAGTTCCAAACCTTGAGGTAAGGGATTGCCAAGTAAAAGACCTACATCATGCTGAGTTCGACTTCACATGAGCTCACCATAGGCAATGATGATGGGCTTGCTCCGCCAAAGCGCGGCATAAGCTGAGCAACCCCATGGTCAGGTAGATGTGAGCCTCTGCAAACATGAGAACATTTCTTGGGAACCCCTTTGGGTTCCAACAACTTGGGTCCTTTTCGGATGCTACTGCCAGTGTCCTTCAAGCGATGGGACCTTTTTGCTTTTCTGTTTTGGACCCGTTGCTGTAAAGTGGCCCCTAACATTTTAGTTGGCAAAATCAAGGCTCCAACACCTCGGCCGGTGTCCATGAGAATCCTGTGGCCGTGTCGTGCCACGTATCCTGCAATTCGTTTTGGGCCGACCCCTGGCGTTCAAATGCACTGAGAGACAACTCAAACCTCAAAACCTCCAATTCAACTCGCCCACCCCAAAGGGAGGAGCTTGCAGCAACCAAATCCCTCTGTGAGGCTGCTTACTCAGAATTGTGGCAACGCAGGACTTACACAAACCCCTTGTGGATCAATTCGGGCGGAGGGGGGGGGGGGCTCGCCGATTCTACGCTGTGCATCCGCCAGGAACTTAAATGCGGGGCCGTCATGAATACACTTGGATGGCCAACCCACTTACCAACTAGGTTCTGACCATGAGAATGACTGGGATGACTAGGTTAAGCTCCTCAGAACCCTGCTTGCAACCTACTTTTTGAGTGAATTCAAACACCCAAGTAGCCTCAAGACTTGGACCAACTCTGGCACAGGGTGCAGCACAATATGTTCAGACTCTGCTGCATTCTGAGTGAATCCCACACTAAAGCATATTCAATATTTTCTGAGTAGACCGTAGACCCCGGTAGAAGTCCAATCACCATCACAGGCCAACATGTAACATATACCCTGACAGTTGCCGTCTACATGCTTGTTTCAGTGACAGCCACGCCCAAAGTATTTTTGAGAACCACTCAAATATTCCCTCTGACTCTATCCAACCCTCACAGGCCGGCCGGGCTGGTCAGCAACACGCGGATGGTCTCGCCGTTGAAGGTGAGACACGTCATCCCTTCGGCGCCCGCCAAGACGTTGACGTCATAGGCGGCGTCCCCTGCAAGCTTCAGGGAGATCTCCGGGAAATTAGGGCCAATTCCCCCGACCGTTGTTGTCCTTCTTGTTGTTGTTGTTGTTGCTGCTGCTGCTGCTGCTGCCCACAAGCTCATATGAAGTGTGTATCGAACAAAGGCACACACGCACCCCACTCATATGAATACAAGTCAGGACTGCTTTGGTGTGTGGTAAGTCAACGGCCCTCCATTTGCTTAAGTCCCCTCGAAGAAAAAGAAAGTCCAGTGAAATCGATTCCATTTAAAACAGCCAGGGGAAAATCGCAAAAACAAATAAATAACCAAATAGAAGCCGCGGAAGGGCGCGGTTTGAGCGCCAAAGCGAGTCCGCTGGTCCGTTCGCCCGGCCTCGCAACAGCGAGCGCTCCCCGAAGCAGCCTGGCCGGAAGACCTGGCAAGGCTGAGTGGAATCAAAGAGATCCCAAAACAACTGGCGGTTTGCCCCCGGAAAACCACCAAAATAGTAAAGAAAATGACACCCGCTTGGGCTGAAAAATTCCTCGAATGACCACCAAAAAAGGGGTACACTCAAAAAATAACACCCCACTTGGGCTTAAATTCCTCTAATGTGTCCTAGGTGACACCCCAAGTAGCTCTAGGTCCTCTGAATGAATCCGAAGATTCAGATCGATCCGGCAGCTTTTTGACTGCCAGCCAGATTACCTAGGTCCTCCGGTACCCGACGTTTTTTGCTGCTGTCTATTTTAGTAGGGGAACCCTCCCAACCAAAAAAAGGGTGAGAAAGGGCACTGGGGACCTCGTCTTCCTCACTTGCCATGCTGTGGCTCAAAAACCTTTACCAAAATGGCACCCTTGGCAAACGGAACCAAGACTGAAACCGGCGTAACCCTAGCTCTTTGATTTTGAGCCACACCCAAATGACCTGGAAATGAAAGGTGATCACCTTTTGGGACCCTACAAGTTGAAAACATGGACAACCAAAAGGCTTTGAACGACGGAGAGTGAAACACCACTTAGTTGAATGCGTCAAAACAATGACCCTCAAGGAATAGAGAGAAAACCCATTGGCGCGGCCCGGCTTTCTCAAAAAAAAATAAAAGCCTCGCGGTGTTCGGGGAGGAATCTTCTGAAGGGCTCGAGCGATCGCACCTTGGAAGGGGGGATCCTCAGGCTCTGCCGTCTCGCGCCAGAAAACGCTGTTTCCCCACGGGGCTTTTTTCCGTGAGGCCAAGTGGGTGGGGTGGGCGTGGGTGTGGGTGGGTGGGTGTGGGTGGTGTAGAACTCCCGACATATTATTATAATTCGCTATTCTTTAAACCTTGCTTGTTCCTCATTCCGGGCCTCAATCGCAATCGGGTAGGCTCCCATGGATCGATCCCTCTTGTCCCGTTGTGTGACTGTTTGCAGCTATAGAAACAACCTGCCTGAGTGGATGGGCCCAAAAAAAGTCTAAACTTTAAACTTGCCACCAAGATGGTCTTCCCCAAAAGTTGTTAAAGTTCATGAACCCAGGGAGTGAGGAAAAATCATCACTAACGCCATTTCTGAAGCCGGGGGGGTGAGTCCGTCAGGCCCACTTCAGAGCTTCAGCGTCGTCGCGGCTCATGAAAAGCCAAGGGAACGAAGCGATCACTTAGGCACCACCGTTCAGAAACCCTGACACGGTCTGATTCCCCAAGGTAAATACCGAGGAAAAATGGCTTCAACCATGGCTTCCAAGTAGTGCGAAACGGAAAATCTGTCCATCCACAGTATGACAGGTAAACGAATCTCACTTCCCAAAGGATCTGACACCTCGCCCGACTGGAGTTGGCCACAAACCGTGCATTTTGTTGCCACGAAATTGCATCCCCCCCCCAATGAACAGAAAAATAGGTCCAACAAGTCCATAACTCTGGAAGTTCCTCAGATGCCCAGTGGCCAGGGGAAAAAAGAATCGGCATCCTTTTTTGGTTGGTTGAGTTTAAAGGGAAGCCTTCCCAAAAAGAAAGTTGAAAAAAGGGATCAACCCACTGGTTGCCACTGATGCCTCCCCCCCCCCAAAAAAAAAAAAAAGCAAAAAGGAAGCAACCCACTGGTTGCAACTGGGGTTCCTTCACCTTCCGCATTTCGATCACCGCTGACCAGTTCTCCGGTTCCGCAAGAGTCCCACAGATCGCTCCTCTCAGCGCGCCTCAGCCAGCTGCTGACAGCTGCCGTCTTCCCTGTCCAGCTTCATCACTGCGCTCCCGCCGTAGATGACGTACCTCACATCGGGATTTATCCAAGTGCTGACGTCTTTTTTTCTCGGGGAAATGAAGACAACCAAGACAAATCAACAAATATGTATGTTTCTAGGGGTTGATTCCCCATTATTTTCAGCCATCGTTCTTTTCAAAAACCTGTTTCTCCTGGGGTTATGACGGTTTTCTGGAAAGAAGTATCCATTGAAAGAATGGGGCCCCTAGAATGTTTGCTGGCTAAAGTTAGGAAATACAAATAAACCCAAAAGGGCAACAAAGACAAACTGCTGAGCAACGGGCGCAGCCAAGGTACCAAAGAAATCACCGACATTCACTCGTAAAAGGGGATCCCTAGATTCATTCTCAAAACCCCTCGAGCGATTCTGAAAAAAATATAACTTCCATTTGCTTAAGCCCCCCGGAAAACATAGACATATGTCTAGTAGTGGAAGGTTCGCTTTAAAACCAACAATGGAGAATAACAATGAATGGATCATAGTGTTAAGCAAACAGAACAATGTGATGGGCATCAACCGCTTTGGTATCACAAGGCCAGTCTCCACGATGGTAGGTCCCCGGTGTTCAGCGCACGCTTTCTTCGCCCCACAAAAGGCCAGAAAAGGCCACGCTTTGCGGTCGACTCAGAATGGTGAACATGGGGACGCTTTCACAAGTCAGTTCAGCTGGGGTCATGATTTTCCCGGTTTCTGTGGTCTTTCTGTGGGGTATCAACGTCACAAACTGCAATCGGTTTCTTTTCCCTTTGACCTACCGCTTGGGGAGTGGCTTTGATACTGGTAGAATAATGGGGCCAGTTCAGGAATCCCAAGTGCGGAAACAGAAACAAAGAACACGGAGGCCTTGACTCGACGAAGAATAGATTAACGGCAACCAAATGCAAACTTTGGCTCAGACAAGGGAAGCCCAAAGATTGCAAAACTGTCTGCAAAAAAGACAAACGTACCAGTTTCCGTGAAGAGAGCGACACGGGGCGTAAATCCAATCTGCAGGGCCAAGAAGGGCAAAACGGGGTAAACTAGAAACCTTTTCGGCATCAGGCAATCCACACGAAATCGTTCACCTAGACCCTCACCCTGAAAGAGAAGGAACCACACCATTTTCGAAAGGGTAGTTTGAGGGTGCTGGTGTATGTTTTGTTTTGGGGGGGGGGGGCTGCAGAAAATTGTTGGGCTGTTATTGTGGTTTCCCCTTAAAACCAACCACAGGAGTCAATGTCCTACTCTTTGTTGATCATCTTTTAGCGACCGCTTCAAGCAACGCACAAAAACAGATTCTGCTAAGGCCACAGGAAGCCCCACAGTCCGCAAATCCTGCAAGGCCGGAAAAAAAGGAAACCGTAGCGTCCAAATCAGGCCCATAAAAAGGAGCTTGAAAGCCAGCAAAGAGCAAAGGGCATAACAATAAGGCCAAACAAGCGAAAGGAAACGGTTGCAAAAAAAGAAGATCAGGTCGACATTACCCAAAAAATCTCTCTTGGTCTGGTGGAAATGAATGCTGAATGGCCGACCTGGATGTTTCAGCCATAGAGGGGGGAGCCATCCCTAGGATTGGAGAAGCCCACGGGAAGCCCCGGGCTCAATCAGTGATAGCCCCCACCCCCCCCCACCCCGAGAGAAGAAGAGGAAAAACCGGGGAAAAAAATAAAAAACATTCCTCGGTGGCGAAATCTGCTAAGCCCTGCTAAAAGTGAATAGCTTTTGGTGGTTTAGTTCGGAAAACCCAAATTAGTTGGCAGAAAGTGATTCAGTCCTAGCAGCCCTGGGCAAAATGCCCAAGCCCACGAGAAGCCCCCAATAAGGCCTTATGGGGCTCAATCAGTGATAGCCTCCACCCCCCCCCCCACCCCGAGAGAAGAAGAGGGGGAAAAACAAAAAAACTTCCTCTGAGGCGCCACTGCCTGGCTTGTCGCACCTTGCCCTGCGTCAGCACTCGCTCCCAGGGCTTGAAGTGCACGAAGCCTCCGGCATCGGCAAGCGGCTGGTTGGTGGCGCTAGATTTTGTTTTTCCCCTCGAAAAGGGCGGGTCAGATTCCTGGGTTTGGGAGGTAGTTGTTCATTTGCCCTCTAAAGCCCAAGCCCAAACGCAAAAACGAAGAGAACCATTGGCAAAAAAAAGCATGCCGAGAAATGTGAAGAGATGGCGTATTTTTTCATGCTGGTTCAGTTCTCCCCTTTGCTGCACCACAGAAGAAGGATTTGTGCCTGGTGTTTTGCTCAGGCCGACGAAACCCCGCCAAAAGCAACTCAACTTGGGAAAGAGTTGGATGCATCCACGTTCGTTGGTGGGCAGGTGGTGGCTTGGGGATGAACACCATCTTAGGAAATCGCCGAGCACCCAAAACCCATTAACCGCCGGTTCCAAACTGATCACAACGCCATGTATTTGTATATATATATATATACAGTCATGTATATGTGTATGAAATGGTATGTAACAGTATGTATGCATGCATGTATGCATACGTACATACAACAGCCGGGTACAAAGACCTGGCTCACAAAATTGGGCCTGACCCACAAGACGGCTGGTCTCTGAGTGGATTGGTCAGAAAAGGTCCACGCCGCTTTTGTTTACCACCAAAATGGAGATCCAAACCCAAAAATGATACAGCCCACAAACTCAGAGTCAGTGGCATTCACCCTGGTCTACCCGAAACCAAGCTTTACAGGACTGCGGACATCCGCAGCGATGGTTACTATCCCTTACCCTTCACCTGCCCAGGTTGTCCAGGTCCACTAAAGAGGACAGAATACGGGTACCAACTTTTTTCTCTAGTCAATTTTAGCAGGGGAACCCTACCCTCGCAACCAAAACAAGTTACGGGGTTTGAAAGGGCACCTAGCCTTGGTTGACGTTAAAAGGGGAGCAACAAGTTGAAATGTTAGCAGTTCAGTGGTTGGAACTCAACCACTAAACCGCAAAAAGCAAAAATGTAAAATGTTTCCCAACGACAACCATGTAGCTGGGGGACCTTCTTTGATCGTGGCCCACCTGTGGGGGAACCCATCGGAGCCTGTGGCGTTGCAGGCCAGCTCCCATCGCTCCGAGCTGAGCAGAGGCTCCAGCGCATTCACCTCCGCATGGAAACCCTGCCCCTTGGGGGTACAGAAACACACACTAGGGGTAGGGGGTGGTCCCTGAATTTCGAGTTTTTTCTAGTGCTCCCCATAAAAGGGCAGCATGTAACTCCTTGAAACGGGGCAGCCCGAAAGCTTCCGTTTGGTGCCAACGCTGCAACATTTTGCCAGGCGTTCCAGAATTCTCAGGCGCAGCTTTTGTAAGCTGGAATGCCAAGGACAGCCACCTCATGCGGCTCCAACCCCATCCGGCCGTGATGCCCAAGTTGCAGAAGTGACAAATCAATTCCGGCCGGCTCTCAAGTGAGCGGAGGTTGAGCGCTTCTGGGCAGGATTTCGAAATCGCTTCGGCACTGGTTACCTTGAGCAATGCGATCTCCCTGCCTACAAAAGTTGTGCAAGCAGAAGTGCACCATGCAGCTGTAGGAGCCCCCTGCGCAATGGCGGGCGCTCACCCGGTCCAATATGCCCTCCCTCTGCAAAGGAGCTTTTCGCTTTGAAGGAGGCTTCTGCTCCTGGATCTTAAAATCCTCGTCCACCTCGGTCCAAACGTCGTCCTCTAGGGCGTGGAGCTTGAGGCTCTTCAGCGGCTCTGTCCCGCAGACAGCCTCTTGAATGGCCATCACAGCTGAGTAGTTCTGCAGCAGCTGCTCCTTCGGCAGATCGAGGAGCCCGCTCAGCGCACAGTACTCAGCATCCCAAATAAAGACGCCGTCCAGTGTCTTGATCGCGGGGTCGCTGTATGCGGGGCTTCCCTTTAAAGCAGTGTAGCTCCCAGCCCAGGTTTGGCTGAACCAGGAGAAGTTCCTGACAGCGCGGGCGGCGGCGCAGCTTGACATCGTGTCGTTCGAGGTAGAAGCCCAGTACTGCGCATCTGCCACTTGCTCGGGCCGCAGCACCGGAGTTTCCAAGTGCAAGCCGCTCTGAAGCAGCATCGTGCCTATTGCCAAGTCGTGGAACAGCATGGCGCCAAATGGATGCCAGTTCGATGTCAAGGCTTGAGCCCAAGCACGTTGGCAGTCAGACCGGGCAAAATGAAATGGCAGCTGGTTGCAAACCAGTGCCGCCAAAACCAGGTCGAAACCGGCAAGTCTAAAAACAAATTGCAAAGCATCCAGGCAATGCGAAAATGGGGTCATTGCCCAAAATAAAGGGGTCATGGACCCATTGTTATTTCGGGTCATGGAGACTCCAGGTAGCATCCGGGCAAGGACTTCCAATCCGGACAGGGCGGGAGCCGCCAGAACTCTCTGCAAGGTGCCCCATGAGCACTTTGTCCAGGTTCCTCTAGTGTGCAAACTTCGAGGCCAGCTTTCCGACCAAATGGACTTCCAGGGGTCACCCCGTCCCATTCATTTTCAACCCCGCATTTTCAACTCATCTGCCCAAGAACCTGGAAAAATGGTTTGGCCTTCCGAAACCTTGACCAAGACTGGGCCGAAAGGAGAGGAGCCTCACGTGGCACTTGTGGGTAGGTACTTAGAAAAACAACTCTTCTGAAAGGGGCAAGTGTCAAAATCCCATTTAGGGTGAGAGGCTATGGACTTCTCAGACTTTGACCTGCGAGTTCCCGAACCGTCTCGGATCCGCTGCCTTGGACCGCATAGCCTTCAGCTCTTGGGGAAAACCGCAAAGGCAAGGTTCACGGTTTGCTGCTTCAAAGGGAAGCTGCAAACAAATACACAGAAAGAAGGGCACAAAGCAAGCTTCGTTTGCTCAAGTCCCCTGGGAAAAATGAGAAAATCCAATCGTGATACATGTTTTGAGGGGAAAATAACAAATATTATTGAGCAAGCTGGAAGCTTAGCAAGCCTTTGGTTTGGCACTTGGGGCAAACCTCCGGCAAACTCGGCACCCGCATGCGGCCTCATCTAAGAGAGCGCAATACTCATCGAAGCGTTGCCTCAGCAAGCGAAGGGTGAGCATGAAAACCTGACGCCAAGTGCGGCGAAAGGAAAAAAATACGGGGCTGGCCAATTAGAACGGCATTGTGGGGCAATTACTTTAGAACCACACTTAGTCATGACCGGGGAAAACTTAAAGGATCTTAAATGTATTAGCAACACATGTCCCCTCTCACTACCCTCAAAACCCACTCTGAAAGCCGGTCCGAAATCCATGACCTCCACTTGCTTAAGTCCCTAAGAAGAAAACGAAGTGATAGATTCCCTTTAAAGCCAACAGGGGGAAATGAACCATGTTCATTTCAGCCTTTGGGCAATCCGGAAAATAAACTTGCTAGTGCTCAGGGAGTGTGGGAATGAACCCAGGGATTTCCTGCATCTCTTGCACCGGCAAGTAAAACATATTCACTTCAGCAAGTCTTCCACAGGAAACAAAAACACTGTCTGATAGATTCCCTTTAAAGCCAGGGGAAAGTAGAACATGTTCATTTCAGCAAATGGTTTTAGATGTTTATCGGGGTCATTCCCTCATTCCCTGCCTATCGCACCAGCAAGTAAAACATATCAATTTCAGCAAATGGACGATGCGAGACAAGGAACATGCAAAGAATTACCAGGGCGGAATTTCGCGCGAGTTTATGGCTGGGATTGGCCCGTACTAACCTTCGTCTGCCCGGGTTTCGGTTGTGACTCAAGTGATGTTTCCCTTTGCCTGCTAATTTTGTAAGACACTTACCCCTTAAAACTCCAAGCCCTGGGGAAGTTAATCTTTTACAGACATATAGCCCATGGTACCCAAAAAGTTGAAAAGTTGTGTTTTTAAGCGGTAAGGACACCTTCAAAAGGGTAACCTCCAAAGAAAGCCCCCCCCATGTCAACAGGACAACAAGTTCAGTAGAGAAAAAGCAATCCCAAAGTGGGTACTGTCCCGATTGGCGTCTGTCAGACTGTCACCTCTATGGAATGACATGGTAATTCCCTTCGAGCCAACATCCGCGGTCGCCCCGCTAGCAAACAACTTCCTTCAGGCTGAAGAAGCTTCATCTACCCTGCTTTTGGCTAACCAAAGACTCAAACCTGCGTAACCCTGGGAATTTTTATTCTGAGCCCCACCCATATATACTTCAGCAAATGGGTATGAGTCAACACTAAACTACCAGGGGACCGCAGGTTTTAGTCCGTGGTTCCATTTGCCAGGCTTCCATGTTGGCTACCTATTTTTGACCCACAGCCAAATAGAAAATGAGAGACACATGCTCTTCAGGCGAAACACTATCCCCCCCCTTCCCCCCCCTTCCTCCCCCGAGCTGAGGGCTGAAGAAGCTGAGCTGAGGTCTCGGCCCGCGACGGGTGAAGCATGTTTCCCAGGCTTGGCGCCTCACCACGTAGACCACCGAGTCCTCCCGCGCGCGGAAGGTGGCCTCTCCTCGGATCTGGCGTGGAGGGGTCCATTTACCGGGTTTTTCTTTTGGAGGTCCAGGGAACCGGTTTTCTGTAAGGATAACCCGTTTTCAGATGAGAAAAAAGCAAACTAGGTCCTCCAGTAGAGAGGTTCCCGAATTTGTTTATTGTCGATTTTAGTAGGGGGAACCCTCTCCCAAAAACAGGGTGAAAGGGCACTACTGGGGGGCTAGCACCAAATCATCCGTAAATATGGAAGAACACAACTCCGTAGGTGCTTGTACTTGCCCAATTTGCCGCCTGAGAAACAACTAGTTGTGATCATCTTTTGGGATCTTGACAAAAATGGGTGTGCATCAAAATAAGGAACCCAACAAATGGTGGTGTTCGTTTGGGTATCCCTTGAAAACAACCTTAAAAAAGAGTATGTGGGCAGACATGTCGTACCTACCTACCGTCAACACCAGTCATGACCCACTTACTGAGTGCATTGAACATGTCAGCCATGTACTCAATGCCTGCCATGCTTCGCCGCATGTTGTACAGCAGCGCTAGCTCGCCTAAGCCAGGCGGAAAGCTGGCAGCGCGGCCGAGGGAAAATCCGGGCAAACGCCTGGATTTTTCTTTGAGGGCTGACCCGTTTGGGGTGATGTTAAAGGGAAAGTAAAGGGAAACCAACCATCAAAAAAAGTCTCTCTTGTTGGAGAAAGCCAAGTAGCGTGCAAGGTTGACGGAGCATTTCCAAAGCACTCAACAGGCCTCTGAAATCACTGGCATCACACAGAACTGCTTTTATTATGTTAATAGAAGCAACGTATTCTATCCCCTCCAGAAGAGAGGTTAGAATAAGGGTACGCGTTTGCTTTTTTCTGTAGTCTATTTTAGTAGGGGAACCCTCCCAACCAAAAAAGGGGTGAGAAAGGGCCCTAGCTGGGGGACCTCGTATTAGTCCTAGTTAGAGAGGCTGTGGCTGTGCCCAGGGGCCGAAGCTCTCGCCGCTGGTCAAGATCTCATGACGGCGACTTGAAGGGGAAGTGCTGGCAGTACTATCCTCCGAGGAAATCAAAGCGATGTCCGGCCCCAAGTGGCTCAAACAGTTTATAACTTGTTGGCAGGTCAGACGTTAAGCAGTTTTATACCTGTTTGGTTGGTCAACAAGTTGAGCATGTATGTGTGTGTGTGCACACGTGGGGTTTCCATCCCCAACAAGGTCTTGGTCAAACATACACCCAAATCGCAGACTAGAGCGGCAAAGGTTTGGACAGAACCTTCGTTTGGGGGTCTGGGGGTCTGGTCGAAGGGTTCGCATCGAACCTTTCCAGTGGATGCCACCCTCCATTTTTGGATCTCTTTGAGAATGGCAAAGGAAGAAACGGATTACCCCAGCAATCCCGTCCATGAGCCCTTGCCTGGGCACACTGCCGCAGGCGCGCGCCCCTTTGCTGTTTCTGGTTGCCGTCATCTTTCTTAGGCAATTTAGGCGTGCCTGAGCCGAGTTCAAAACAGGAGGAGGCCAATTTGAGAAGCGCCTCTTTGAGAGAAAGCCGATTGCTGCAACCTGAAAACTGCCAACGACACCGGGCCCAAAAAAGGGTTTCCTTTGAACACTCACCAAAATGAAGGCCTCATAGTTCAATAGTTTCATCGTTTGAATCAGAGCTCAGGAGGAGACATTAGTTTCTAGCCCCCCTTCCCCCCCCAACAATCTGATTTCTCAAAAGCATTCCCAGCAAATTGGGCGGCCTTTTAGCTTGTGCTCTTAGTCTGCTTTCTAGGAACCCCAGCCAAAACCTAACTTTAGCACATTGGACAGAAAACGCGACCAGGCTATAGTTCACCTCTCTCCCCACAAAGTTCAACAAGGCCACAACCGGGGGGCAGGTGGCAGGGGAAGTGAGACAGGCGTTCCTCGATTTCCATTTTGGGACCTTCACAAGTTGAATTGTCCAAAATAACCCACCAGTAAATTGCAACCTTGAAGCCTTGAAGGGGGAATTTCAACCCCCCCAAAGAAAGCAAATCATTGAAGTGCAACAACACCTGGACTTTGGCTTAGTTCTTCTTCTTCCTCAAAAAAAAAAAACTGTGGGGGGGGACAGCAGTAGCTTCAATCAGCCGCTGTTTTGGAAGCCTCCGGAGCAAAGCAAACTCCACGAAAACCCCTGGAGCACCTGGTCGCTGAAGCCCTCCTCCGGATCCACCTTTGGGGACTCGTTCTCCTGCGAAACAAGAAAAATCCACGCGAATCGGAGCCCGGGAACTCGACCGTGGAAAGGAAACCCACAACTGGCTGGTGCTCACTCATGTTGACCCCGTTTTTTTTGTTTTATATATATATATATATATATGAATAAACCAGAAGAAATGGAACTAAGATACAGGCACCAACATTCTAAGATACCAAGATTTAGTTTTGTTTGCCAGGCATCCCACCTCTCATTCCCTAAGGGTCCCTCTTGCATCCCCCCTGTCTTGACTACTTGGCGGGCTACCTGGAGCAGCAGTTCACAGGGAGGGAGGGAGGGAGGGAGGGAGGGTTTAAACATAGGCACCGCTGAAAAGCGGGTAGCGCTGAAAAGCGCACCATTTTTTTCTGGGCACATGGCAAAGATGACCAAGCAGGCCTGGCCAGAGAGGGAGGATGGTCATGGGGCACTTTAGCCTGCACCAAGACTGCAATATTCAATGGCCTAGTGGTCAATATATATCCCTGCTTTGCTTCAGAACTGTAACAACTGCAAAGCACTATGCATAGAGGGCACAGCCATTGAGAAAATGCATGTGGGGCTACGTGTGCTGACCATGACCCTAAGTTTCATGCCCTGTTGCACACCCGTGCACCTAACCACACTGCAGCCACAATGTGTTTGCACACAGACGCTTGCAGCCAAAGAAGTTGCCATTTGACTGTTTGGGGCAGCTGGGCACTAAGGCTCAAGCCCTGCACTGAGGTTCACTAAGGCCCCAGCAGAGCGGAGCCTGCTGCAAGCTAAGGTGCAGACACTAAGGCCCAGGCATCTAAGGCCCTCACTTCAGGGTGACACAGGCCTGGCAGGCAAAGAGGCAATGTTGCCACTCACTAGGGCGCAGTCACATTGTGGGGTTGTAAGCCTGCCAAGGCATGGACTCCATGCCTTGGATTTTCCTATCACTGTAGGGGTTGGGAACAAGTAAGACAAAGGCCAGAGGCTTAAAGGATGTTCAAGGCAAGTTTTCGCAGTTCACCCCAGCCCTTGTCAGACACTAGGGAGGGCCCCACTGACTTTTGAAGGTGTTGACCGATTGGAGGCTGGGGTTCTGCCAGCCAATGTTGCACTTTCGCCAGGACAACTGTTCAGCTTTGATGCTCCTTGATGGGATTGTCAAATTTGAACACCAATTACACACTAAACATTAATGCCAGAAACCTTGAAGACATCATGCAAGGGGGAGGGCAAACCTTCAATCAACCAAGTGGCGCAAAACATCTAATTTCCAAACAGCTCCATTGGGCAGGAAATTCGTTCAGCACCAGACCAATAAATGCTCCAGTCCCCCTCCCTGCCCCCCAGCTGCAAGCCATGCGCGTCAGCCCCAAAGCCCCAAGTGCATGTGCTGCATCGGTTGACCCTGATGAGTGCTGCCCGCAGGTGGGCTCTTCAATTGCAACGCAAGGAGAAGCCCATTGATAACACAGCGCAAACAGACATGTACACAGTGACCTTGAGCCTAAACAGGCGCAACTGAGCTGCTCAGCAAAGGCCACGCACGGCACATGCAACCACACATGGGTAACACACACACACACAAACACCCACCGCTTCACAAGCTTTTTTCCAGAACGGCGCCAGGTAGCCAAGTTCAAGCTAGCCTGCAGGCCTGTAGGCCTGCAATGCTGGCTTCACTTCTTAGACATCTCAGGCTTCTTGGCATTTGATGGCTGGCTCTTGGAAGAAGAGCTCTGCTCCTGCTTCTCCTGCAAGTCCATGATCTGAAAGTGCAAGTCTGCATTCTCAATGCCTGGGGCAAGTAAGTTTCCACATTGCAAAACTTCAAGTTTAACACTTCAGGTGCCTAGTGCTTGAATCATTCCAGGGCTTGTTTCAGGGGATTGAGCTAATTCTTCCCAGGCATGGAAGCCATGCCTTGGCATGTGTGTGTCTGTGTGCATGTGTGTGTGCATGCACGTAAGAGAGTGTGCAACTGCGTTTCTGAGCGTGTTTCCCTGTGTCTCTGTGACTCTGTGTCTCTGTGACTCTGTGGCTCTGTGTCTCTGTGCCTGTTTCTGTGTCTCTGTGTGTGTGTGTGCCTGTGTGTTGGTGTGTGTGTGTGTGTGCGTGCGTGTGTGTGTGTGTGTGGGTGCATGCACGTGTGTGTGTGTGGGTGGGTGGGTGCATGCATGTGTGCGGCGTGCGTGCGTGCGTGTGTGTGTGTGTGTGCGCAAAGCATGTGTGTGTGTGTGTGTGCACTTGTGTGTGTGCAGGCATGTGTGCATGTGTGCATGTGTGTGTTTGTGTGCGTGCGTGTGTGTGTGTGTGTGGGTGTGTGTTGTGTGTGTGTGTGTGTCTGTGTGTGTGTGCACGTGCATGTGCATGTGTGTGTGTGTATGTGTGTATGTGTTATCATGCCCTGTTTCAACACCAGGGCCAGTGAGGCTTGACAAGCAACACCTACCAGGTGTAAGACTGTGCCCTAAATTCCTGCAAGGGTTTTGAAGGTGAGGGAGCAACCAAGTGTAGTTTTTTTCTGACTGTTCTCATTGCATTGCGAGCCATCAGCCTCTGAATTCTTGAATTTTGTCAAAGGTGCCAGTGCCAGGAGTGTTTGTTTCTGTGTGTGTGGCGGGCCCCTGAAGGTCAAACTTCACCTGAAATCGCATCAGAAGTCAGTATTTTGGGCCAAGCCTTGATGCAACATCTGCCTGGCTGCTGGCATGCTGGTTGCATTGAAAGCCTTGCAAAGCCAGCCATCTTTTGGCCCTTGATTTTAAAATCTGTGGGAACCCTGGGCCCAAGGTCTGCCTGGCTGAGTAATTTCTTTTCGAATTGAGAGGGGGGATGCAGGCTCAAGCAGGACAGTAGGTTTTACTTGTTGCAAGCCACCCTGGAACACAAGAGTGGCTCGAACAATGCGCTAAAGCAACGCATTCACGGACACTTGTCTCTAGAATAATAATTATAATACAAACAAAAGTGTTCAAGCAACGCGTGACAAGAACGCACCCCCAAACACTTGTTCCGGCAAATTCTTCTGTGGGCAAAAGTGTTCGGACCACACCCAAGAAGCAACTCACCCATGAACACTTGCTCCAGCATGTTTGCGTACACAAACATGCCTGGGCAACGCATGGAAACCGCACAATCAAGTACACTTGCAGCAGCCAAATCCTTAGTGCGCAAAAGTGTTTGAGCAACGCTTGAAAACAACTGGTTCACAAACACTTGTTCCAGCATACTCCTGTACCAACGTGTTCAAGCAATGTGCAAGGGGGGCCAGGCTGGATTAGGGGGGCCAGGCTGGGGTACTCTAGGCCTAGAGTCCCAAACGGATTAGGGGGCCAGGCTGGATTCCCGACAGAGGCCCTAATTCAGTAGGGACTCTAAGCTTAGAGTCCCGAATGGATTAGGGGGCCAGGCTGGATTCCCGACAGATGCCCTAATTCAGTAGGGACTCTAAGCTTAGAGTCCCGAACGGATTAGGGGGCCAGGCTGGATTCCCGACCGATGCCCTAATTCAGTAGGGACTCTAAGCTTAGAGTCCCGAACGGATTAGGGGCAGGCCGTGGCTGCCGGGGGGCCTAACTCAGTAGGGACTCTAGGCCTAGAGTCCCGAACGGATTAGGGGTAGGCCGTGGCTGGCCAGGGGGCCTAACTCAGTAGGGACTCTAGGCTTAGAGTCCCGACATGGATAGGGGCAGGCGGTGGCTGGCCGGGGGCCTAACTCAGTAGGGACTCTAGGCTTAGAGTCCCGACATGGATTGACAAGGTTTAGGCACCGTGAAGGCTCATTTCCCGAGTGTAGTAGGTGTACGATGTACGCCTAACTCAGTAGGGAATCTAGGCTTAGATTCTCGATTGAGTTAGGGGCAAAGTAGCAATTCCAGATTGAGCCAGGGTGGTTCCAAAGAATGGCATACCCCTAGGTCAGTAGGGAATGGCACAAACCTCCCTAAACCAATCTGGAATCTAAGCCTAGATTCTCGATTGGATTAGGTGTACGATGTACACCTAAAGCAGTAGGGAATTGAAGGCCCACTGCCACTAATCCAGTAGGGACTCTAGGCCTAGACTCCCGAACAGATTAGGGGGGTTGGGCCAATCCAGTAAAATCCAGTAGGGAAGGCCTAGGCTCCCAAACAGATTGTGGGTTTGGGCCTGCCTTGGAACCTCTGCCGTTGCTCTCATCTGAGGTTATGTTTGGTGGGGCTTTGCAGATCCTTGGAGAAGACCTGCAGGCTACCAGCATCCAAAAGGCAGAGGATGGCCCTGCAAGCTCTAGCCTTGGGACAAGTGACTTGCCTGGCAACTCCAAAGCTTGCCGGCCATGTCGGGGTGGGCCTTCATGCTTCAATGAGTGGCTGACCAGTGACAGTGACACTGCTGCCAACACCTCCTTCCTGGAAAGCTTGCAAAGTCACCCTGCCATGGACCTGGACCCTTCAGCTGCCCCGCGTGAGCAGCAGAGTAACTTCAAGGCCTTTTGGTTGTCCAGAGGAGTGCCCATGGCCATTGCGGCTCAGATGTGGGCCCAACACCCAGAAGTTGTTCAAAGGCGTGAGTCTGCTGCTGTCAGAAGGCAGTCAGCCAAGCAGCAAAGAGCCAAAGCTAAGTTGGCTAAGGCTCAGAAAAAGGCTCAAAAACGCCAGGAGACTAATTCGCAGGCCTGCAGGCCTGCTGGGGGCACATAGAGTCATTGGGCAGTGTAGCAAAAAGGCAGCAGACCTGCACCCCTTTCATGTTTGTGCCAGGATTGCCCAGATCAAGACACTTTGCAGCATGGGCTTGTGTTGCTGAAGACACCTTGCAGCATGGACTTGTGTTGTTGAGACACTTTGCAGCGTAGACTTTTGCTGTTGAAGACACCTTGCGGCATGGACTTGCGTTGTTGGGCCAAGAGATGCCAAAGACCCCACATGGTAGCATCACAAAGTGGCGGCGCAATAAAAGGCCAAAGAAGCCTTGCAAGGAACCAGACTTTGACCCATGGAGTGAGACTGTGCATGCAGCCTCTGCTGCAACTTCCTCACTGGCAGCATGGGGTGAGGACTTGGCAGATCCCTGGCAGGAAGATGCAGACCCATGGGCGGAAGCTGACAGTGTGGTAAGTAAAGCTGAGCCTTCCAAGACGCGCAAAGTTTCTTTGGGCGCTGGCGCAGAACTGCTTGCAGCATCTACCTTCAAGAAGGCCAAGAACACGTTTGAGACCAAAGGAGGTGATCCTGATGGGTGCAGAAAAAGATGGGCTCAGCCATGCCCCAGAAAGTGCAAGAGGATCAGGCTTGCAGACCTGCAGGCCCTCTGCAGCTGCTTCTGGAAGATCTCACAGAATGAACGCTGCCAGCTGCTGCAGGCAACATATGGTGATGCCAGCCAGAAGGGCCCTGAACGTCAGAAAGTTGAGTACTACATTGGGGATGCCCAGGTATGCTTTCACAACTTCTGCAGCAAGCTGGGAAGCTCTCAGAACACCATACGGAAGCTCATGGCTGGTCAGCCAGACATGCGCACGTGCAGCTTTGGCCAACACAGCTTTGGCAGCAGGCCCCGGGACGCACTTGCCACACAGAAGTGTGACCACTTCTTCCAAGAGTTTTACCAGTCTGCAGCAGAAGCTCTGCCTGAAGATGAAGACTGCGCACCTGATGACCCATGGCAGGAGGAGAGGGGCTGCCTTCAAAGTTGTGTTGTAATGCCTAGCCGTTTATTTGTTTGTGCAAAAGGCTACTTTAAACTTAGCTCTTGGGCGCAAGCATGCCAGGAGACTATCTATGGCAATGTCTCTGACCCCTTGACTGTGTCCTGCATGGCAAAGGTTTCTGGCTTGCCGAAGCGGTACATCCAACACTGCCAGATCAGTGACTTGTATTGGCAGTTCCACGCTGAATGGGACATGTTGCTGGACATGCACAGCAAGTTTCAGGACAGGCCTGCAGACCAGAGCAGTCCTGCAGGCCTAGGAGAACTTTTGTTGTTGACATCAACGCTCCATTGGAATATGTTTTTGCAGCCATTTCACAATGACAGATTGTTTATGGACCAGCCCATGGGTACTGTCAGAATTTGAGCCTTGGCTGGGTGGCAGAAAAGCAGGTCAGACATCTCACCTGTGGGCTTGAACGTTTTCTTGTTGGAAACAGCTGCCATCAACCACACACACAGAGTGTTCCCTGATTATCCACTGGGTTGTCCCTGCATCTTTGGTGCTGATTGAATTTCTTGGGCGGGACACTCCAAGACATGAGGAGCAATGAGTGCCCTGAGGGCTTAGCAAAGTTCCAGAGAAACAGTTGGCAGTTTCAAAATGCCTTGTGCAATACTGGAGGCTACCCAAATTCAGCAGTGGCCAGAACAGTACATTGCATTCACTTAGTGCTGTTTGGAATGGCATGTTAGCCCAGCCCTCTGCCCAGCCAGCCTTTGCACTGCCTAGAAAGCTGTGTGCAGACCTCAGTCAGACCTCAGTCAGTGTCTGAACCTTAGTATGCAGCAGGCTCCGCTCTGCTGGGACCTTAGTGAACTAAGCCTTAGTATTGCAGGGTTTGAGCCTTAGTGTCCTGCTGCCCCTTTTTGCGGCTGCTTTTATGGTTGACGGCAAGTGTGCAAATGCAGCATGGCTGCAAGTGAAAGCATAGAGCTGACTGAAGCTTCATTTCAATTTGACTTTTGGTGCTATGGTCAAATGGAAACTTAGGACCAGAAATTTCTGAACGCCACTACCCAGACACCTTGCAGCCTACACTTTGCCCACCTGCTCCCTGACAACTATACATGTCCCATGCTTGCAAAGTGTTCTTGTACATCCCTTCCTGTAAATCCAGGGCTCAAACAACCATGTGATGCATTTAAGATTAAAATTCACCATGAAGCTTTGGGATTCAGTTATTGCTGCAAGTAATCTTGTGCTTCAATGCTGCAAAGAGAACCAATCACTATTTAGCTTCATGATGTTGAACAGCAAGTTTGAAAAAGGTGGCCCCAATGCGAATGACATCTCAGGTGATGAACTAGCAGGTCCTGTGTTTTCCAAATGGTTGTGCCCTCTGTGCTGGCAAGTACTTTTCAGTTGTTACAGTTCTAAAGCAAAGCAGGGGTATGGACCACTAGGCCATTCAATATTGCAGTCTTGGTGCAGGCTAAAGTGCCCCATGACCATCCTCCCTGTCTGGCCAGGCCTGCTTGGTCATCTTTACCACGTGCCCAAAAAAAAGGTGCGCTTTTCAGCGCTACCCGCTTTTCAGCGGTGCCTATGTTTTTACCCTCCCTCCCTCCCTGTGAACTGCTGCTCCAAGTATTCCATGAAGTAGTCCGAGCCACAGTGCAGGGGGTGGGCACAGGGAAGGGTTGGGATGTGGGCACAGGGAAGGGTTGGGATGTGGGCAGGCAAATGTAACTGTGGGGGGGGGGACATCCTTGGGGAGTGGGAAGTGAGACAGTTGGAGGGCATGTGGCACATGAAGAAAGGACACCTTGGAAGTGGGAGGGTGGGTGGAAGTGGGAGGGTGGGAGGGTGGAAGTGGCATGTTGATGAGGAATGATTGGCATGCCCTGCCCCCCCCCAACCGGCAAACACTGGTATCTTAGAATGTTGGTGCCTGTATCTTAGTTCCATTTCTTCTGGTTTGAATATAACATGTTTGTTCATATGGGGGTGTTCCTCTCCAAAAGTGATGAACCCCCACTAAAACCGAAGATTCCCTGCTGAGCACCAAGGAAGGCTTCTCCGAGTTTTCCCTTTGAACCAACCTCAAGGGCACCTGCAGAAAAAACGCGCCATACTAATTGGATACGACGGGGAAAGGCGGGCAACCGACCAAATTGCGAACAGCTTACCTCTTGGACTATGGCTTGATTTGAGCTGAAAGTACACCACAACCCCGTAATGACATGATAAGGCAAACTTCTCTCTCTCTCTCTCTTTCTTGCCCTGTTACTCATGATAATACGTTCTGCTGGGTGATTGCGGCAAACCGACCTTGTTGGTCGGCCATGATGACCCACCACTTCACCAATGGACCCTCAGAGATCCTGAGTCTCCTGGAAATGGATGAGGAACCCCTATACTTGGTTGACGTTGGAAGGGGAGCAAAAAAATAAATTTTAGCAGTTAAGTGGGGATGCCAACCACTAAACCACAATAAGCAAAAACGTAAAATGTTTCCCAACGACAACCATGTATACATGGGCAGTTCATGATAAAGTGAACCAGGCAAGGGATGTGGCCAGTTTGTTTACCAAATGAGGCTTTCGTGTGATCATGTGAACACTGGGCGCTTGTAGTGCCTTCCAATCCGGCCAGGTTAACATTTTGTCAAGCATGGTTCATGACCTCATGTCGCCTTGTGGGTTCGCAACAGCAAGTCCAAACTTGTTGCTCACAAAAGTAGTCCTCTCAAAAAGTCTGAAGTCCAACTGGAGTGAAATGATTTGAACGGGCCTCTTGAAGGGGTTCCGGAACCGGTTCCACTTGCGGAGTGCCCCAAAAGTGACGACTCCGCTCTTTCAGAGTCGGAAGCACATCGTGGCGATTTGGACAGGACAAGCTTCCGACTCCGCAACACGGAACTCCAAAACCAGGTCCCCAAAACGCCAAAGCAGAGTTTCCTCACCGGGAACCAATTAGGAGTGCCCGCAGCTAGATCTCGACGTGGAACGGTTTTGGAGGTCTCTCCGTTTGAGGGATCGCAATTGGTTGGTTCCATGTTCTGCATGCAGGCTAAGAGATACTGACTGGGGCTGGAAAGCTAAAAGCTTGCCTTCATAGCCAAAGAACTTTCACAGGGTGTGTGTGTGTGTCAAAATGAGGACGCGCACAAAAACAGCTTCAAAACAAACAACTGCCAAAACACACCTGAAAAAAAGGGGGGCTGGATCGTTTGAGACTGATTTCCCATTCCCCAAACAGGAACTGGGGTCCGGACCTGCGGTTTCGGGGAGCCCAAATATTCCCTCTCATATTGGCTTCACCGAACCCCTTGCGCCAATCCAACCTCTTGGAGTCAAAACAATGCATCTAGTATACACTTTATTTTTTCTTTCTGTAGTCTATTTGAATATGGGAACCCTCCCTCAACAAAGGGGTAACCGGGTAGAAGGGCTGGGGGACCTAGAAGTGACATTCAACAAAATTGCGATTTTCAGGAGTTCAAGACCAAGACTTGGACCAGGGTGAAAAACACATATGCTCAGATTCTAGCCTATTTTCAATTATAGCTCTAGCACCCTGGAGGAGACCCCCCCCAACAATTGACTGATCCTGCCTTTCTCCAAGCAAAAAATCCTCCTGGGCTACCCCCCCCTCCCATGCCCCCCCCCCTCCCCCCATTCTCCCCCCCCCATGCCATGCCCCCCTCCCATGCCCGCCCCGCCCCCTCCCCCCGCCGGCCCTCAGTTCACCTCCCGGGCCGAAAGGCCCAAAGGCCTTGATCTGCGAGCAAGGGAAGCGATCCGTGGGCGAAGTGTCGTCGCCGTACCTCGCGCCTCGCGAACGCGCGCGGCGCGAGAGCGCGCGCGAGCGCGCGCGAACGCCTCGCTGGCGAACGCGCCTCCCACGGGTTTCTCCGGACTCCGTACGAAAGTCGATTCCAACGCTGGCCAACTCTTGGGCACATCAACCCATCCGACCCACCGATCCATTCACCAATTTGGAGACGCGCTCAGTTGATTTCAGTAGTGGTCCAAATGGAATGCAGTCTTACAAAGGGGAGCGGCCTCACTTGCCCAAAAGAGGAAAACATAAACAGCTGCCCTTTAAGGACTCCCTATCAACAAGTGTAAGCTGGACAACCAACGGCTAATCGCATTGAACAAGTGCAGGGCCTCTCAGAATGCAACCACTTCTGCGATATGCATGATTGAAGCCTTTGCCAAAAACGAATTGGTCACTTGACCGAGACATTCAAAATGGTGGTCAACTCCAATCCAAAAATCATCAAGGAAACCACAAAGGTGGCACGAACGGATCGAGGAGTTGAACAGCAGCGCTTGAATCATGAAGGGGGGGGGGCCACATCAGCCTGTATTCAGCCCTCAACAAGGCCTTGTTAAGGCTCGGCCAATCGGGCTCCGCCATGCTTTCCTTCCCCCCAGACCCCATGTTCCTGCATGGAAGGAAGCAATATGAGGGACTAAATCAGTACAACCGTCGACCAAATCACTAATGGAGCATTAATTTCAATTTTCCCAGAACCCTGTTTCAATTTCCTGAGCCCGTATCTTAGTTAACCTTCAACCCCAAACCTCATCTAAATATCATGTTCACAATGTTCTACTCTCTCTCAGTTGCCCAAAGGACCCAGAACTAAAAGGTTAACCTTTTGGGACCTTTACTAAAAATGGACCAAACTAGGAAAACCAAAAGGTCAAAAGGTCGATTCGCTTTGGACAACTGAGCACCCTTCTTTGCCACTAAAATAGTTCAAACCCAAGTGACTAAAGTCCGGGAGCCTGGGCTGTGCTCCAATCCCCCTGCTCAAAGCGACTCACTTTCAGTGGGTGAAAAATCGCAAAACCCAACCAAACCAACAAGAAAAAAAAAAAAAAAAAGAAAACAAAACGAGGAACCGGATGGCAAGGAACCGCCAAGCACTAGGTCCTCCAGTAGTTTGAGCTTGGAAGAAGTTGGTACCCGATTTTTTTCAGGACGTCTTATTTTAGCAGGGGAACCCTCCCAACCAAAAAAAAGAAACGGTGAGAAAGGGCACCAATTGCTGGGGGACCTAGAGTAGGTCTACCGTTTTTAGTGGACCCGCATTGGCCGTTTTTTGTTGTGTGATTCGCCTGGCCTCTTGGACTCCTGCGTCGAGGAGGCAGCAAGGGCGACTGCAGGCTCGGGCGCATGGCCTGCCGTTGGGAATGGCTGATGTCCTGTTGGCTCCCCCTTTGAAACCAACCAAAAAGGGGAACCTCCCAAAAATGTTGCAAACAAAGTAGGCAGTGGGTCAAAATTGGGTTCCCAAAATGGAACCCTGGGAAATGGATGTGAATGGAACCAAGGACTCAAAACTGCGCTTGGCTGGATTCAAGGTCATAGGTTCAGCTTCCCTATTGGTGGTTTGGTGCTTACGGAGGGGTTTCCCATTTATACTCTACAAAAGCCAGGGGTTCAAATCCCAAACCACCAATCCAAAACACCAATATGACGGGTTACCGGATTCATGGTCCTTCATGGCCGCTAAGATGCAAATCAAGAATAGGCAAGTACTTGGCTGCAATCTAATGGTAGCTTGGTATACGCCTGGCCGTGGTTTCTTTCAGAAGGAAATTGACAATTACTCACCTGCAAGCATCAACGAATATGGCAACACTTAGCGCCTCCCCCCCCTCCCCCGGAAAAACAAGAAGGAAGGGTTCTTAGAAGCTTCCCCCACCCCAACAAGAAAAACAAAAAACAAGAAAAAGCAGGAAGGGTTCTTCTCAGTTGCCCAAAGGATCTGTTTATAAAAGGTTAACCTTTTGGGACCTCTACTAAAAATAGACCAACAAGGGAAAACCAAAAGATCAAAAGGTCGGCTTTGAACAAATGAGTCTTAGAAGCTTGAAGTCCCGGAACTCAGGCAGTGAGGCTTTTTGAGCCGCCTCGGACGGTCCGGAGACGCCGCGGAGGAACATTGTCGACTCCGGTAGCTCCTGACTCGCAGCCGGGCAGCTGTTGGTTCACCACCCGGAACAGACAACTAGGAAGTGTTTTCAACAAATGGCCATGGGTCACAACCCCGTACCCCCAGTGAACATCCCAATCCCCACTAAAATGGGTGGTGCACCTATCCCAAAATGGTACCATTGGTTTTGACCCACAGCCAAATAGCCAGTCTGCATCTGAAGATCCTCCAAGAATTCCTCCTGCAAACTAGGGAAATGGGAAACGAAGCAAATCCCTGGTCCCAGATAGCCAACCTGCTGCATCTTCATTGATCATGCAAGAGATCCCCCGGCAAAACTCGAAAAATGGGAGAAATAATTAACGCAATCCCGGGTTTCCAGAAGTGACAAGGCAACATGCTCGGGTTGTGATCCGAAATCGGATCAAGTAGTACTCGCCGTGTCAGGCATCACTGATGGCCTCTCCAAAGGCTTGAAGCCTTCTTGTTGCTTTCCTGGAACTACTGTGGATGTACGAAATCCATTTCGCACCAAGAAACGCTGGAATGACTCAACCCCGTTGTAAATACCAACAAACGTTATGGTTTCAACCACCGTTTCTCAGGTGGTGTGATACTTCCCTTGTAAATACCAACGAACGTTATGGTTTCAACCACAGTTTCTCAGGTGGTGCCAAATGGATTTCGCAACCATCAACCGTAGTTCCTTCCTTCTGGTAGTGCTCGGCCTGGCATCGCCTCAGCTCCTTAGAATAGATTTCTAGGTCCTCCAGTAGAGAAGTTAGAATAAGTTGGTACCAACTTGTTTCAGGACGTCTTTTTTTAGCAGGGGAACCCTCCTAATTAACCAGAAAAGAAACGGTAAAAGGCCAGTAGTTTGAGGTTAGAATAAGGGTACCAACTTTTTTTTTTTCCTGTAGTCTATTTTAGTAGGGGAACCCTCCCAACCAAAAAGGGGTGAGAAAGGGCACCTAGCTGGGGGACCTAGGGATGGTACTCAGTGAATTGAGGAAGTGCCTTCAAGGACTGCAACGGACAAACCGCAACCATCTTGGCCGTGGCACCACCTGATCCCTCTGTGCGAATCGGCTCTCTGCAATGAGAAAATGACTTCAACAAAACAACACGCCTGTTTTGTTAGCTTATTCTGTCAGGGACCCGCGTCCAACAAAGCGGAAATTGGTGATCCTGAGCGGGCTTGAACAAATGGGCTACTTTACACACATTATTATCCTTTCGTGCAAGCGCGCGAAACCCATTTGTTAGACTCACTTCCCAAGTTGACACTAAAATGGTCTTCCAAAAAGTTTAAAGTCCACCAACTCAGGAAGTGAGTAGAACCGGTCTAAGGGCCCTTTGGCTTGCCTCGATGCCCTTCCCCCGATCCCCCCCGATCGGCTCCTCCTTCTGTTTTGGCGTTAGCCTCGGCGAAAGATCGAGGCAAAGTGAACGGGAGACGGCCCAAACCGGTCCCGTAAACATGTCATATAATTGACTCACTTCTCGAATGGGTTGGCCAAAAAAAAGTTTGAACTTTTTCTTTACCACCAAAATGGTCTTCCCAAAAAGTTTAAAGTCCATGAACTCAGGAAGTGAGTGGATCCGTCTTGGCCCAAAATAGCACAACACTGAGACTTGAAGATGTATTGGCTGATTGTTCATCAGCTCAATGTGTTTCATTTGACCCCTGGCATCATGTTCAACATGGGGCCAGTCGCATCTCCGAGGCAGGTCACAATAACGAGACATCAAGTCAAACCTGTAGCATGCACAACTCACCGTGCACTGTAAATAAACATTGCCGCGCCGCAGGGTCGAGTGTGCTCGACCAAAAGCCCCGCAAAGGCTGGGCTGTGATAGCCTCCTTGGCACATCTGCGAGGAATTGCAGAGGTGGTGAGTGGAAAGGCGGTTCAAAGAGCTTTGGCCAATTCCAATCCTCAAGGGGCCAGACTTCCCGGAACCAAGTGTCTGGCGCTGCTGCTTGAAAGGGTAAACCAAGGAGAACCCAATGTGTTGCAAAAGTCTGAAAGCCAAGCCCGTGGTCTGGCAATAAAACAATTGACCCTGTTTTGTCACATCGCAATTAGTGACAGGTTTTTTTGGGAAACACCCAAGGTCGCTCGCCCCAAAGTCCAAATGACGCCAGATTGAGTTCGGTTGCACCACTGAAGGTCTGGAGTCCGAATGCTTCAAGCGGGCTTCCCGATTTGTATTTCTAGGGGTGCCCATTCATTCTTTTCAGGGATCCTTCTTTCCATAAAACCCCCGGAAACCCAGGGAACGTTGCTGGTCTTTGAAAAGCACGATGGTTGAAAGGAATGGGACATCACCCCCCAGAATATTGCAACCAGACCGCTAAAGAATTTAAAAGGAACAGTAGGGAAACACACACACACACACGTGTTGTTTCTTGTTTTTGCCCTGGTAGGTTGGTGTTGAAGGGAAAACCAACCACCCAAAACAGTTGTGAAACAGGCACGTCGGCAAGCCCCAAACAAGAACATGTCGACGTGCTCAGACATGCACAAACCAACAGAACCCAACTGTTAGCCATGGCTTCCCACTTAACGCCCGAAGGGTTCATTATGGCTCACTTGATTTGGGGTGCACCAGCGTCTTGAGACCAGCGGGTTGCTTGTTTGCCGGCGAGCCTTGCAGTGGGTGTTTGTTTGCTTTCTGACTTCTTGCATTCCATCAGAAACTCCATGGATGCATCACCCTGGAACCCCGGATGAATCGCTATAAGCAAATGTTGTTGTTTTTTTTGTTTTTTTTAATCTTTCCCCGAAATGGATCTAATCCGAACCTCTAAGACGGGGGCAGCGCGCTTTTCATCAACCAGGGTTTATGAGTTTTGGGTGTGGCTTCCCGTGTTTCTGCTCCGAAAAGGCGAAGTTGATACTGCACAGCGCGGATGCGGACAAGCGTCTGCAGAAAGGTCCTCGGAGCAAGGCGGTTTCAGCGCCGAAAAAAGAAGGTGAGCGTTGTGTGTCATAACTTTACAGAATCTAAAGTAAAACGAGTCGGCATGCATCATAAGTAGGAATGTTAACAACAAGTAACAACCAGTTGGCATGCCCAAGCACAGAGTACAATCAGCACACATTTGGAGACAGGAAATGGGTAAGGCCAAGTGCTGACCGGTTGTTGGTTGGTGCTGGTTGGCACCTGTCAAAGCATCAAATGGCCTCCACTCGGTTTGCCATCCACTTTTTAAGGGTTTTCCGATTGCTCTTGGGAATCACCCTATTCTAACCTGCTTCCAGAAAAAAACTCTGGAGTTTATTCGGGACTATTTGCCTAGGGTGTTCTAGAAAAATCCTTAGACACTTGAATGGCGAGTGCGTATGTGTAAATTAGAGAGTTGCCTGATTTTTGTGGGCGATGTGGAGAGGACCATAGGCTATATATTCTGAGCGAGCCAAAAACCCACTGACTGCCTTACTATAGCCCGAACATGGCCAAGCGTAACCGAATTTGCGCCTCATATAAAAAGAAGTTGATACATCAGGATAAATCGAACCAAAACGACGGCTTTGGATTCTAAGGGGAAACCCTCAATCCCCCAAAACAAGAAAAGTCTACTTGCCCTGGAGGTCCAGAAGATCGATTTCCCCTCTAAGGACCCGCTGGGTGCCAGAGAGCTGGTCGCCCATGATATTGAGTCAGATTTCGACTCCAAACTTGACATGAAAATGGTGTGCCCAGAATCATGTAAGGAACTAAAAAGGCGGCTGCACCCATGTATGCTTGGATTAACCCTTACTGGGTTGCTGTTGACCCCTCTGCAAAAAGTTATACTTTTCGTTTCAACCACAGATCCAACAAATAGCCACACAGCTTACCAAGCTCATCTTTCTGGGTTTGAGGACACTTCAAAAACTCAACAACTCAAGATTGATAAAACAAGTATAATAGTCATAATAAAACAAACATATATAATAACTAATCACCATATAAATCATATAAGAAACAACTAATAATAATAAATAAAACAGATATATCTATTTGCTTGTGTTAAAGAATCGGAAAACAGAACAAAAAAAGCCTCGACCGGAAAGGCCAAACCGGGGCGCTGCTTCCGCAGCAGGCGCTCCGACATGGAACTCATGGCCACCGTCTCCTCTGCGGAGCGGCTGCTGGGGCAACCTGGGCTTTCGGGGGAGGGAGGGAGATGCCGTGGATGTTTAAATCAGTACATTGCTGCCCGGAACATTTACAAAGATGCCCTGAAAGAAGACTCTAAGTGTCCCATGATACGGGAAGAAGGGGGGGCGGAAGAGGGAGGGGCAGGGGGGGAGGGGGACGGGAGGGTGTGTGTGTGTGTGTCTGTGCGTGCCTTGGGTTGGAACGTGCCGGTTGAACGGCAAAAACATCTTTGGCGAAAAAGGCCGCGGAGTTGACGCAGGCCGAAGTTTGAACTTGTTTGGGCCTTGACAAAAATTAGTTGAAATCTGCAAGTACTAAATGCCAACTCAGCAGTTGCTCTAGCCGCACTTTGCCAACCCTCTTCAAGGATCTGTTTGCTGACAAAAATGGCCAAGCACCCTGCCGTTTCGAGGTTGTTCTAACAAGGTGCCCAGTTGCGCGACATCTGCTGAAACTGCAACACCCTTGTCCCAAAATACAAACGGAGAAAAGGAGCTTGCTTGACCAAAGGTCACTTGAGTATGTTTCAACGGTTTCAATCAAGCTGCAAATGCCTTGGTCAGGACACTTGACAAACTTGTTTATGTTGCTTGTATGTTCTCTGTTTTTCCCGGATTCCTTCAAACGCCGCAATTCAAATCGCTGCATCTTCGAATAAACCCCATGGCCGTGTCAGAAACACGCAACACCAGCAGCTGTTGGCTCGCGGCTTTGGGGTTGGTTCCCGGTGGGATCGGTGTCCGGTGGCTGCGGGATCGGTGTCCGGTGCGTTTGGGTTTGTTCAGTGTGGGGGCTTGGGGTAGTTTAAAGGTTGGATTGTTTGGGCAGGTTTCCTTTGCTGGTTTAGGGTAGGGTTCGGATAAGGCTGGGTGTTGCTGGTGCTGGGGGTTTAAAGTGAATTTCCTTTGGGGGGGTGATATTCAAAGGTACCTGGTTCTCCAAGAGGCTGATGATGATGCCGAAGGAGCCCTTGTATATGATGAAGAACTCATCGCCGACCTGCAAGAGCCCGTTGGCGAGCCCTTCTCGGGCAGAAATGGTCAAGTGTTGAAACAATCAGGCCCCAGTTCGGCCTTTAAGGGACTTTGCTTCGACAATTATGGTTTCAACCTGAATCAGAGGGGCTTGTTGGGTCAACTCCGCTTGTGAGAAACCTGCAACCCTGGATTTCCCCGCCCTTCTTTTTTTTGACCTGGTCCATTCGGAACCACCGTTTTTGGCCAAAACCGTTGTGGTGCTTCAGCAAAAAAAATCCGGCACCTCCTTGTTTCCTTGTCTCTCCGTCACCTTGGCTTCGAGCCCCGAGCCTCCCCGCAGCGCACCACCTCCTGGCCCTTCTGCACGATCCTTCGCTCCGCCGCCCGGGCGATGGTCTCCAGCTGCTCCTCGCTCGCGGGGCTCGTGGCCATGCTGGTTGAGCCCGTCATGGGATGGGCCAGAAACCCTGCGGTCTGAAAAACAAGTCTAAGGGTATGGCTAGGAACCGGTGGGATATAGGCGTGTCTTTGCGAGGGTGGCCTGTTTGCAATGGTTCTTAAGGGAGATTTCCACCAGAAAAACCATCCAGCTTGAGGGTTGCCCTAGACAAATTCACATCATATGCCACCCACATCCCTCCAAAAGGCTGAAAATGGCTGGCAACCGACAAGCGTCAGATGCACGCGAGCGGGTGCAACTGACCTTTGACCCCTCCGGTGAGTCCATGGAAGCTCTGTCCTGTTCAGAGCGAGGTGGGGACCCCTCACGTGGGCTCCACGAAAATCAATTGGACACCCCCATCTCTCAAAATCCGGGTTTGTATCCGGGGTTCCGGTCGGAACGTCTTGAGAGCTTTCATGGAATCGCCTGGGGATACCCATGGCTTGGTCTCCAACTGGCAAGATGTTGCTAAAACAAAAGGGGTGGCTTCACCAAATGGGGCACGAGGATTAGATATAATCTACATGGGTTGTCTCACAACTGGGTTCATCTTTGGCTTATCCCTCAACAATCAAGCGACACCCGCCAAGAGGGCTGCTTCACAAATTGGGCTTGACACACGAAGAGGACTGGATGGACGATTGCCTTTTGGCATCTTGCCCAAAGGACAAGAAAATACAGGGGGGGAACTCACCTTTGTCTAAATACGCAATGCTCGATTCACCGAGGGCAAAAAAAGCCTTGGGCAAGTGAGACATTTGAAGGGCGGCAAGCATCCTCCCCCAACCAATTTCAGCACTCGCCCACCAAGCATTGAAGTCGGTGCGCAGTTAGCTTCCCTTTGTCCACATCCTGGGTGCCGGGCTATCCATCCACAAGGGAAAAAGCAGCAACCCAAAAGCATGTAATAGGCTTGTTGTGCTTATTTTGTCGTGGCCCTCTTCACCGGTAACCCCTGTCAACGGGATCAAGCCAGGGCCCCAAAAGAATCGGCCATTTGACAAACCTGCGAACCCACAAGCTGGTGTTCGGATTGCCCATGTTTTTGGGTACCTTTCGAAAAACAACGCACATACACAGACAGCCCCCAATGGATGTTTATGGGAAACAACGAATTGGCATTGGCACCTCTGTTTTTTGTTCTTCTTTTTGTTTCTTTCTTCTTTTTTTCTCGGTAGTACATGTTACATCACATCCCCCCACAAAACGGGGGAAACAAAAAACAAAACAATCACACACACACACACACACACACACACACACACACACACACACACACACACACACACACACACACACACACACACACACACACACACACATACACACCACGAACAACAAAAAAACAACAACAACAAACCTGCAGCAAGGGGAGGCCGCTCAATCAAGCATTTGCTTAAGTGAAGAGAACATGAGAGAATATGTCCAGCGATAGGTTGCCTTCAACACATGTGCTTTTGTTTGAAACCCAACAATACATTTCAGCAACAAGACTTGATTGCCATTGAGTGGTTGGGGGGGCCTTCTCAATTCTTCCATTTGGTTAAGGCCCCCAGGGAAAAAAACATATTTGCAGCAGAGAAATCGATTCATTTTAAATCCAACAAGGGGGAACAAAAAACACTTCACCAAATGGAAGCCTCTCTCTCACTTGAGCGGAGGTTGGGCGCTTCTGGGCAGGATTCCATGGTCCGCTTATGGAGGAATTCCATAGTTCGCGATGTATTCACGGCGCCTCGGTCACCTGCAGGAGCGCCCTGAGGTTGGTGTTCCGCCGCACCTTCGGCCGCAGGTGGGTTCCATGTGGGCTGCAAGTACTGTGGATGGCTGCGAAATGTGTTCAAAGGCACCACCTAAGGAACCCTGGTTGCTGATGATTCTCCTGTAAATGCCGGAAAAATGATGGTTTCAACCATGGTTTCATTCCGTGGTGCGAACGGAGTTCGCAACCATCCACAGGTGAGTTCAATGTGTCAAGCAGTTCCCAGACTGCCAGGTTCGGTTGCGAAATCTGCTCCCCTGCTAGCAGTGAATAACTTTTAGTGGTTTAATACGGAAAACCCATTAATTAACATCCAGGCAACATGCACCAAGGAGGTGATTTCACCATGGTTTCCCTTGGCTTCACCATGACGTTGGGATCAACCTGGTAAAGCTTCCTCTTATGCTTGCAACAAATCACCAAGCGCTGGTAGAAAAAGACTTGGTTGGGGCGGGACTGATCATGTTCCCACTTCCTGAATGGACTGGCGAGAAAAAAAACACCCACACTTGTGGTTTGCGACTAAAACTAGGTCCTCCAGAGAGGATGGAATAAGGGTACCCTTTTTTCTGTAGTCTATATTAGTAGGGGAACCCTCCCCCAAAAAAAGGGGTGAGAAAGGGCACCTGGCTGGGGGACCTAGAAAATCGTTTGCCCAACAGTGTAAAGTGCAGGAACTCGGGCAGGACCCTGAAGAGGCCTTTCTTTTTGGAGGTGGAACTATGGCAATCAAAGCTCCCCAAGGAGGTAATCAAAGCTCCCCCCAACCCAGGAAATGGTGGCTGGCTGGCTGGCTGGTTACGTTGGAGCCTGCTGTTCGCAAGCGCGAAGGCTTCGCGGTCAAAATTACCCCCCCCCCCCCGTTTTGGGTCAGCGCTCCTTATATTTCCCCTGAAACATTATTCAGGAAGCTCACTTCAAGGTGGCCCGAAAGGTGATCTTTAAACGCCAAGAGGGGAAATATAGATAATTGTGCTCACTTTCTGAGTGGATGGGCACAAAGTCAAAAACGTGTTGCTTAACGTTGACCCCATATTAATCAACCCCAGTTTATTAATAGGGGGGTGGGAGCGTGTCTGAAAGTGGTCTGAATCCCCACATTTCACCCCGCGAGAAGCACCCCCCGAATTTCATCAACTCGCTGGCTGATTTTCATCTGGGGTCGACCTCCAAACTGACGGGTTTACTTTTAAGGTTTCCCTTTAGAACGACAACTTTTAGTTGGCCAGGTCCTCCAGTAGAGAGGTTAGAATAAGGGTACCCTTTTTTCTGCGGTCTATTTTCGTAGGGGAACCCTCCCCCAAAAAAGGGGTGAGAAAGGGCACCTAGCTGGGGGACCTAGTGGGGGTACCACTAAAACGGGTCGAAACCCAAAAAGGCAAGCCCAGAAACTCCTGAGCCAAGTGGCCGCTTGCGCAATGAAGGTCACCTCCTGACCGACTCGAGCAAACTGGAATTGGTCGAACCTCTGACGAAAAGACCCCCCCCCCCCCGGATTTAGAAAGGTCTCAGATGCCCAGTGGACTTATATGGGAAAAAAAGGATTGGCAGCTGATTTCTGTGATTTGTGTTTAATTTAACAGAATCGGAACCCTTACCCAACAAAAGCGGAAAAAAGGGCACCACTGGGCACCAGAGGGGTGTAGTTGGGATTATATTATTGCCTGTACACTTGTGCGTTCTTTTTTGGCAGGGGTAAACAGTATAGCTGGGTTTAAACACTTCGCTTCCTAAGTTGATTGGCCAAGAGTCTAACAGTCGGGCCTCTGGTTCAACTGACCGGCGATTCCATGCACGTGTCAAACCTCACCCTTTGGGCCCATCGTCAAACCTCACCCTTTGGGCCCATCGAAAACCAATGAGTTTCCCTCGGAAGGAGGAAAAGCTGTGGATGGTGACGCGAAATCCACTTCGCACCACCTGAGAAACCCTGAAATGAGTTGACTCCCCTGTAAAAAAGACCAAAGTTATTGCGTTCAGCCATCATGATCAGAGTTAGGCCCAGTTATAGAATGTAGATTTTATTGTTTGCTTCACTTTGGGTCACTGGCAAAATGTAAAATGTATCCGAAGTCTACTCCAGCCATGGTTTCAAAGGTGGTGCGAAATCCGTTTTCGCAACCCTCCACCGTGGGAACCCTGTCCTCTGCGCTTTTCTCACCTTTTGCGATCTCCTCAGATGCCGAGAAAGAGACAAGAGGTGCCCGGACAGGAACGGGGATGGCTTCATCTATCCATTTAGATCTCGGCATTGAGGGGTCCACGGAAGCCCCAAAATCGGCGGTTTCCTCTTCCCGTACCCTGCCCTCGACAAAGGATGCACCCATGTGTGTTCGTTTGAGGTGTTGGCTGAAAGTGAGGCCAAAAGGAAGACCTGAATTCGGTTTGTGGGTCCCGCTGCTGGTCAAAATATGGCTGGCTCCTTTTTGGACCCTGGTGCTGCCTTGTGCTGTGCTTCAAAGGAGATGTCACAAAAGGCCCCCCTGTTGACAAACCCTCACATCTGCCCTTCCAAACAGGTACTTACCACCAGGGGGCAAAAAACGGGGGCATATGACGGTACATGGAGTTCGCAAATGAATTCCCTCGGGATGGGACTGGAGTATAAGCAGGTCACGTTGAAACCCGCCCAGCCGCAAACAAACAAGCAAGCAAGCAAACAACCAAATACACAAACAGCAAATCCCCACCAAACAAGTAGGCTCTATGACTGCAGCACGAATAGGCTTGCGTTGGCCCAAGAAAACCCCACAGATCCCACCTATGCGTCTACCCCAGAACCGGCTTTCCATTTTTAGGCCCTTACCCCAGCCCCGCAAAAAAACCGAGCCACGCTCTGTGCGCAGGCCGTGGGGTGCTCCGTATGGATGGCCGCACGCTTGGGGAATCGCAAGTGCTGCTGGATGCCTGCGGTGAAGAAAAAAAACTTAACTTGCAGGACGAAAGTCGATGGCACAACTCCGTGTATGTGGGTAAGCTAACAGGGGTGAATCACCTTTACTTGGTTCTGGGCAATAAACTTACCCTTCCTCCCACGTTCCCCAAACAAATGTACGGGCAACGCAACCCTGCAGTAGGCCATAACTATAACCATGGCTTTTGGGGGACTAACCCCAGTGAACCGGCATAGCCATGGTCAACACTCAACTTATGGCGGTCGTGCTCTCACTTCCTCCGTGGATTGTAACCATACATTTTGCATTCCCACTAAGCTGGTCTTCTCAAAATCCACTACCCCCAGGTGTTTGACCATGGTACAATTGGATCCTGCTTGTCTTCCCTATCATTCTACCAGAAAACCGCACAAACCATCCCCCCACTGCTCAAAGACCCGCGAAAACCCAAACCTACCTTCGCCTGATGTTGCCTTGCGCCTCGTTTCGCCAGAGGTCTGATTCGCCCCCAACCCTTGGGGTCTTTGCAGGAAGAGAACAAAGCATGAACCAATTAACAAACAAAACACAGGGCACCCCTTGCTCATGTTCAAAGGTCTCGATTGGCCTAAGAGCGCGCTGCATATCCGGTATCTTCAATTTGCCTGACGTGCCATCAAAATACAAGCCACGACACGTGACCATTCCTCTGTCAATCTAGAAAAATAAGCTTCGAAAGCAAGGCATCACTTGACGCACATGTAGGCTTTCCACACACACACACCCACACACACACACACGCCCGCTTGGAACATACTTGAAGCTGAAACATGCGCGTCCTGAGTCATGAAAGGCTTTCCGGGACATGGACAGCGTGACCAGGGTCTCCTGGTGGGTGGTCGACCGGCCAAGAGCGGTCAACTCGAGCGTCCTTGACCCACTTGCAGTCAATGGACATACCCCAGACCCCATGACTATACCCAAAAATACAAGTCTTGTGTCTGGCTTGTCGGAGGGTAGTTTAATTTGGGTATGCAAGTTGAGCCTTAGAATCCTTTTGCCAACCAATAGCATATGACCTGTCAATCAAGGCTCGAACTAGATGCTTTCCACTGGCCGCGCGCGCCCGCGGCATGTGCATTGTTGAAAAGTGGGGATTCCCACCTACTTTAGATGTGCATTATATATATATATATATATTTGTATATATATATATATATACAAGTATATGCTATACCTCACATATGTATATATATATATATACATCGATAGAGAGATGATGTGTATGTTCATGTGGTAACTTGCAAATATGCATATGCACATGCATACATGCATGCATGCACACACACACACACATATATATATATATACATATGTATAAGTACAAATATAGACACCCATGGACACCGCCATGTTCGTAACACGCCCATATGATGTTTTGCCAACAAGGCGGTCACGCGTGGGCTTAACTCGCCTCCATATGCGCAGATGCGTCCTTTGTATCACGGGAAAATGTGTGGTTGGCCCCAGCTAAATTGTTTGTCGACCTTTGATGCACACTTCCCCCCTTTCCCGGCGACAATCTGGGAACGGAAAACCAATCCAGGAATATACCTGGGTGCGAAGTGGGTGTGTGGAAAATTCAGGCTACGGAACCAAAATGATTGGTGTACTTTTGGCTTCCCTTTGAACCCACCCCAAAAGTGCACCCTCACTCCAAAAATGAGTGACGCGAACCCATTCCACTTCAAATGCAAATTGTGTTTGGGCATTTATGGAAGGAGTCAGGCAAGCTACGCAACCCTTTAGGCTGTTTAGCACTAAGATACAGCACCCAACCCCCGACCCCGGAAAACACAAAAAATCGCGGACTCTCTCGAGCGGATCGGATCGCTCCTTGCCATGGGCTCGGATGGTGGCCACGTTGTTGCGGTCCTCCAGCAAGGTACGGCCCCCGAAGTAGTCGCCCTTCCTGTCGGCTATGGTTGCGAAATCCTCTTGTGATCGGTGTGTAGGGACTGAGGGAATAAAGCAGGGGAGTCCCGAATGAAGGAAACCACCAGTTGGATCTACTGAGCAAATCCATCTCGCAGCACCATTCTGAAGGCTGAGGGATCAATAAAACATGAATTCAAGATCGACACAAAATTAAACAGGTAGTAGTAGGAGTAGTAGTAGTAGTAGTAGTAGTAGTAGTAGTAGTAGTAGTAGCAGAAGTAGCAGTAGTAGCACTAGTACTAGTACTCAACTAGCGCTACTACTAGCGCTACTTTAACTGGTAGTAGTAGTTGTTGTTGTAGTATTGTAGTAGCCGCAGGAGCAGCAGCAGCAGCACCAGTAGTAGTAGTGGAAGTAGTGGCAGTACTGGTGGCGGCGACAGTAGTAGTGGTGGTGGTGGTGGTGGGGAGGTAGTAGTAGTAGTAGTAGTAGTAGTAGTAGTAGGAGTCGGAACAGTACTAATAGTACGGGTAATAGTAGTGGTAAGTAATAGTAGTAGTTGTAGTAGTAGTGGTAGTAGTAGTAGTAGAAGTAGTAACAGTAGTAGTGGTGGTCGTGGTGGTAGTGGTCGTACTAATATCATTGCACTAATACTAGTCGTGGTAGTAGAAATAGCACTGCTGGCGCGCCAACTGCCCATTCCTCCACACTAACTTTGTCTCCCCCCGCAGTCTTCCTTGTGAACGTACTATCTGGTGCAAATACTAACTTGCTAACTTGCTAACTTGCTAACTGGCTAACTTGCTGACTCAACTGGGTAACTTGCTATGTGGCTTAGTTGCTAACTTGCTACTTGCTAACTTACTAACTTACTAACCGCCGTATGTGCTGCCTTACTAACCGCCCTTTGCAATAGGGTGCACCGGATACTAACTTGCGAGCTGCCTTCTCCTTCACATGGTCTGGAATAATTTGTGGTTGATCCCGAATTAAGCTTTCTAATGATACTAAATTAATGTCTTTTTGATGCGTCTGCCCGCTCTGAAACCCAACGGAATGATGGCTAAACCATAGCCAAGCAAGAGGTACAATTAGCACACAAATGAAATGTGGATTCAACTGAGAAATGGGTGCGCCACAATTGGGCACTCATGCGTGGGACTCGGTACGGGGGACTAGGCATCCCTGATGGTCATCGTGAAAAAAACACACCTAAGTCACCTAACTAATATGCTTGGCAGTGAAGAAATCCCAATTGTAATGAACAATCTGGCAAGATGACAAGTGCCAACAACAAACCGCTCCAGAGAGTACGACGGCAACCAGCGTCGGTCGATTTATTTTCACCGCACTGCCTCAAGTGGGTGGGATCGTACCTGTTGGTCGATCTGTTTCAATCTCTGGAGTCGGTGTGCGTGTCTCTCAGACACCACTGACTCGAAAGTAAAGTACAACAAAATAAAAGGTAAGCAAATGCAAGTGCATGCAAACCCAAAATGTTGTACAGCAGAGTTTCGAAGAGGGAGTGGACGTTCTCCCGTCCTCTCACTCGATGCTATAAATGCAGACCGACAGGTACTGAGGGCATGCAGTGAAAACTGGTGAGGGTGGGTGGGAAAGAAAAAATTGGCTAATTCGCCAAAATGGCGAACGGAGCATGAATCAAGCAGTGTCATCCTGCAGGCACTCAAGGTTCGAATCTGAGTGTGATTCAAATGCCTTCCGCTATCGGTTGTTACTTTTAACACAAGTGTTAACCGCAACAACAAACCGCTCCAGAGAGTACGACGGCAACCAGCGTCGGTCGATTTATTTTCACCGCACTGCCTCAAGTGGGTGGGATCGTACCTGTTGGTCGATCTGTTTCAATCTCTGGAGTCGGTGTGCGTGTCTCTCAGACACCACTGACTCGAAAGTAAAGTACAACAAAATAAAAGGTAAGCAAATGCAAGTGCATGCAAACCCAAAATGTTGTACAGCAGAGTTTCGAAGAGGGAGTGGACGTTCTCCCGTCGTAGGTCAACTCCCGTCGAAGGTGAAGCCGAAGGCGAACGACCTAGACAAAAGGCACGTTGAAGGCATCCTTACATCGATCAAGTCTCCTTACTGTGGACAAGATTCTCACGGGACGTGGAAGTCAAGTCGGGTTCAGGAGGAATGATTCCTGTGGAACTGTTGGAGTTCCTTTATGTCGTCAAATCCGACGGCATGGGCGAACTCAATATCGCCAATGATTTTGCACGTCCGTTTATGTAGAGCGTGCATGGGGGGTTCCAGAATCTGCCAGTGGTGCTTCGAGGCAAGGGACATGTCATGTCGACTGAAGGGGTCGGCTATATTAGCATGTGTGGGCACACGGGCAATATGCAACTGCAATTGCTGTCGGTTGTGCCATGTCCAATGTGCACCGAGCAGGCAGTTTAGTGGTTGGTGTTTCCCAACTCCCCGTCTGATGGCGTGTTTGGCCGCTTCGTTGTCGCACAACTGGAGGTATGTGTCAGTGATCCATGGTCGAAAGATCACAGGAGCGATCAACGCGGCCCATGCCTCGAGGAAATAAATGGCGTTGGTGCCAGTACTCACTTGTTGGAGTAAGTTAGGGGGTAGTGCGCCCGAGACCACGCGGGTCCTTTGTGCCTGTGGGCTGAACAGCACCGCTGCCCATCCGTTGTCGTGCGACCAATCGGGTGGCAGACAATCCTGATCCCCTGCGTCCTTGACACGCCAGACCGTCTCGCCCTGCCGGCAGAACGCGTCGGTGTATATGATTGAAAGGTCTCTGGGCCTGGTGGACAGTGGGACGCTGCGGGGTGAGCTATGTTGCAGGATATTCAGGAGGCACAGAATGGCAGCTCGAGTTGGTTTGTCGATCCGGTCGGAAGTGCTGTGTGCTTTGTGGTATAGGGCGGCTAACGCCGATCGCCCTACTCGACCGAACAGGTGTCCGGTGACAAAGTTGCACTTGCCGGCAGTGCGTCGGGCGGTGTCGTTCGACATACCTCCCTGTTCGAGACACTGAAGCAGGGTGTGTGACAGTGTACGGACTCGGTCTGGGCACGGTCGAAGGGTTGCGTGTGTTGCCGACAGGTCGACATAAACCCCTTGTATTTTGTGAGAGGGCGCCGGTGGTTGTTCCTTGGATGTCTTCATATGAAATCCAAGTAGTGAGTTGAGCTTGCTGAATGAGGAGAAGGAACTGGTCGCGATGTGACTGGGTTGTATGGCCCCGTAGTCGTCAACGTAGTGCAGGGCAGGTGTGAGTGTTAGTACGCGGGCGAGTGCTGTGAGTGCATCGCCGAAGCGGTTGTAGCCCCAGACGCTGGCAGCGGAGCCGAACAGGAGCACGTGGTGGTGCCAGAGAGTTGGGCCGTCGGGTGTGATGAGTAGCACGTATGCTACCTCCGGTTGTGCGAGGGGCAGTTGACGGTAGGCGCCGTCGTGGTCGTGTCCCCACACATGTAGCGGGTGTGCGTCGTCGTGATATTGTCTCGCACATTGGATGTAGTGGTCGGGTGTGTGATGGTAGGGTTGATCGTGCATAGAGCACGTCTGGTTGTGGCCGCTGCGGCGCCAGTCTTCTCCTCTCCGGACTTTGGGTTTTCCGTCCGATCCGGTCTGTTGTATGCTGAATGCGACTGCCACAATGGGATCGCGATGTGGAATAGGAAGGAGCCGGCTGGTGTGGGGGAAAAGGTGCAGGGGTACTGTGCGAGAGGTCCAATGAGTCGGTGCCTCGAAGGGGCCGGCCATACGTCCTTGGGCCACTTCCCCCGCGATTTCGGTGGCCATAAGAGTCCAGTGGTCGTCGATCTTGTGTTGTTGTAATTTGCGCTGGATGTAGGCTTTGTTGAATGACCTGAGTTCTACAAGGTCACATGGGTCCAGGTATTTGTGGTCGTGGCGAATGTGCCAGTTGACTCCGGGTCGCAGAGGCCCCAGGAGGTCGAAGCCTAGAGAGAGTTCCTCGTGCAGGAGTTGTGCCTGTGGGTAGTTAAGCAAATGTAGCAAGTGTGTCATGAGTGGTACCTGAGTGATCATCTTCGGTTGTCGATAGGCTCGCTGGCAGTGTGGGGGCAGCTGTTCGAACCATGCAAGTGTATCTGTAGTCAGGTCATCGCGAAGGTCCGCGATGTCGAGTAACACGTTGTGCTGTAGTTGTGGCAGTTGTGGTATGGTCCTTTGCATTGCGATGGCCCACAAAATGGTCGGGTCGCAGTGCTGGGGCTGTTGCAGCGAGGTAGCGTGGTGTTTGGCCCAGGTCAAGTGGTCCTGCCAGTCGTTCTGTGGCATATGTAGCGTTTCCGATGCTCTCGGAGGTGGTCCCCATGGTCGTGGGTTGTGAAGCCAGAGGTCGACCATCATTCCGAGGGATCCGCGACGTACCCGCTGCGTGGGCGGGGGAATTCCGAAGGCTGGCTGTAGTAGCAAAAGGAATAGGATCCACATGGCTGTGGGCACATGCCAGGAGTTCCCCAGCATGGTGTTCCTGGTCCGGTCGGTGTTGTGTGGTCCCGTCCAGCCGCGCGGGAATCCCATCATTGCTTCGCGGTGCTCGGGTGTTGCGACTTGCCAGTCGTGTCCGTGTTTCCGGACCAGGTATTTCTGTTGGTATTGCCACGGGGCGAATTGTTTGTGGTCGGCTTGCCACCGTTGCCATGTGTCGTCTGGTAGTTGTTGGCTGCGTGGTGGTGGGCGGCCTTCGTCCGTACTGGCCTGGGTGGTAAGGCAGTGGAAGAGTTGTCCGTGTGTTAGGACACTCGGCGGGTCGAAGTCCCGGATGTGACAGTCGGGTTGTAGTTCGGCGGCAATGGGATTGAAGAGCACCGGTGGGAACAGCTGAGTGTCGAGGGAGAGTTGCCAAGGTGTATGCCTGCTCAATGTGGCAGGCAAGGATTCCCAATCGACCGAGGCCCACCAGATTCTGGGACGAGAGATGATTTGGCCGTCGGCCGCGTCGATCAGGACTGGGCGCAGGCCCATGGAGTGGGACAGCTGGTCGAAGTCGTCGCGTACCTCGGGGTGAGGCACGACATT